CCCCCCCGCATAATGAGATGACACTCAGGTGAAACAGGAAGCCGTGTGGGAATCAGAGTGACGCCCCAGCTGCTGGGTGCGTATGGGCCAATCATGGATCCCCTTGCTCTTCCTCTCGGGTAAGGGACCCGAGGTCCTCTGGGTCTGCTCACCCAGCCAGGGATCCTACACCCCACCCTGTCTCCCACTGCTCACCTTGCCCATCACCCCCAGTACATCTCTGGTGTCCTGGATTCCTTGCTCCAGGTACCTGATGGATTTCTTCACCGTGTTTGGATTGTCTGAGGTAAGGTCTATCCAGCCTCTGAGCACGTAGCCCTGGAATGAGAACAGGACCACGAGAAGACCTTGGTGCTACATATCCTTGGCCCAGGCCTATCCCTCCTGCCTCAGTTTCTCAGTCCTTTCCAGTGCTATGCTGAGACCGGACCGGGCACAGCTAATTAGTTCTAGGACGGCCATGTTCTCTGCTGCCAGGACTTCCTACCCACCATTCCACTGCTTGGGTGGCTATTTCCTGTGTCCTCCCCACGCACATCCCGTTACCTGATGAACTGATTGTACACTTTCATAGCAACCCTCTAAGACAGGGTAGAACTGCCCCTTTGAGTTTCTGAGACTGTTCACGGGAGGAGACAGCCCCGTATGTTAGTCTGGGTTGATAGAGAAACAAATTCATAGACACTCATATATGTGTATAGGAAAGAGCTTTATATATAAGAGCAGTTGAATATTGAGAAAATATCCCAGCCTGATCCAGATCAACTCCATAAGTCCAGTATTGGCCCATTTGTCTGATACTAATCTATAAATGGATCACACCAGGAAGTCTTAACAATGTATATTTATGTACATACAATATGTATGTCTGTTTTATGGATAGAGCTAAGATTTGTTTTATGTACCTCCAAGAGCCAAACCTGCCCCATCTTGGGGTGACAGTGCCACCTATCGAGAATGCATGGCCCAGGCAGTGTTTCCTAATGTGGGCGATGCCACCCCGTGGGGGCAGGGCTGCAAAAGCAGATAGTGCCGCTGTATACCCTGCATCACGGGTATAATGCCAGGGTCACCGGGCCACTTTTTCTCTGCAAAGGCTAAGTTGGGAACCAGGATCTTAGACCTAGGTCAGCAAACTGCGGCTTTTTGGAACCTACGTGTGGCCCATCGTTTTCACTTGAAGGATATTCCGACCGTGGTGATTTCATTTGTTTGGAAACATCTGTTTAGGGCTCATGCACGAACAGTTTTTCAATTGCGGTGAGGCGGGGCGGGATTGGCTCTTCGGTCTCTGAAGTTGGCTGAGCCCTGGCTTAGCTAGCCGGAAGCTTGATTCCACCATTAGTGCTTGATGCTCCGATTCCATTAGCATTCTCCTGAGTGGTGAAGTCAGTCCTCTAATGAGGCGCTAACACTTGAGTCTGGAGGAGAGGTGAGGACCAGGGTCCCCATGAATAACCCTGGCTGACTTTCTCTGCCCCTTTGGAGAAAAAGTGAAAAAGAAGACTAACAGGCTTTCCAAAGAGAAGTCGGACGCATAGCACAGGCGAGTCTCATCAGTCTGGGGCTTGAGTCTGCCACGTTTCCTCCTTGCTGGGTACAAACCACAGCCACCCCCTGGGAGCACCCTGAGAGCTACTGAGCTCTCTGGTCAGTATTTCTAGGGACTCCACAGGTGAGGAATGTAGTAAAACCGTGTGTGAGCCTGGGGATGGAGGACCCAAGTCAGTTATAGGCCCCAGTGCTGGCAGGCCAAGGGTGTCAAGCTGCATGAGATGGACTGGCTGCAGTGCACTAAGGACTGGTGGGGACAAGAGCAAACCAAGCAGGCAGCACTGTTACCCAGCCAGGCGCTGCAGGGGACGGGGAGGAATGCAGGCCCAGTGTGGGAAGCCCCTTGGATTTACCAAAGAAGCAAGAAAACTGAGTTTATACGTAAAATGTGATAGTTAGGATTTTTATGTCAACCTGGCCAATAGGAACATGTGGGATGAATCAGGTCGCAGTTTGATTGGAGGGTGAAGAGATAAATGGCTCGGCAAGGTCCGACCCCCTCTCTTGCTCTCTGGTGATTGGAGTGTGCTGCTGCTTTAGCTAGTTCTCTGCCTCAACCTGTGAGCGACACTGCCTGTGGGCCAAGCCAACCCATGGATTGTGTCTCTAGAGCTTGAGGCTCTCCACCACACTGCTGGTGCATACATCGCTTGAGGCAGGTGGATCCTGTCACTTTGCTTTGCTTGAATTCTATATTGCACCTGCTTCGCTAAGCTCCCAAACTACTGACCCACCCTGCTGCTTGCTGCCTGTGGGCAGACTCTGCTTGCCTTGCCCGAGGAAGGACTCTGCTGTCTGCTTCCTTGACCTTGGACCAGACAGCTCACATGCGTTGAAGGACTTCCAGTTTATTAACTGTTCCACAGAAGTGAGTTGAACTGAGCCCTCTGTACTGCTGTGTGGGCTAATTAGCTGTTATATTGCTTCTTGCTGTATAAACCTATCTATATATATATCACAAGTGTCTTGGTTTTGTTTCTCTATAGAACCCTGCCTAACACAGTAAACAACAAAAAAACAAAAACACCCCCCCCAGCCCCCAAAGTCAGCCACGGCTGCAAGATGTAATAAGAAAGAGCTACATATCAGAGAGCTCCAGCCACTGAAACACGTATCTGAAGGTGGGGCTCTGTGAACAAGTGCTGACACATATCCTCTGCTAAGCCCTGAAACCAGGAGGGTAGGGCGTGGGGGTTCTAAGTGACCCAGGACTCCTCAATGCCTGGGCGTGATCTTCTCTCAGCTCCAGGGCCTTCCACAGCGGTAGCAGGCTAGCCCGCTAACTTTGTGCCTGAGCTGGGCTTTCTGACTGTTACCCTTTTTCCCCCACCAGCATCCCGGGTGCGCACCTCTCTGGAGCCCACGGAGACTTTCAGCATGCGGTCCACGCACTCCTTGGCTTTGTCATGGCGGCCCACGAGCCAGAGGAAGAGCCCAGCGTAGTACAGGGCCATCTCTCCCGGAGCCTTCCGGACTTCCTTCAGGCTCCTCTCGAGCTCCTGGAGAGCTTCTCCATCTGTCCCCGCCCCCCGGGAGAGGGTGCAGAGGACGAGTTAGGCAGGCCAGGAGCTTTGCTCTGTGCCCCACAGGCCTCTATGCTTGGACACGGGGCTCTCTTCGTCCCACGCAGCTGGCTACTCACCCGCCTGCGGCCTGGGAGCCAGCAATGCAATGCTGGCCCTGGCCATGTGTCACAGGGCTGCCTGGGCTTTGCTTTCTCAGCCTGCCCTGTCTTCTCTCCTCTGTGCCCAGCAGGGTAGTTGGCATATACCCCCCCCCCCCCAATCATTCTGGGTAGAGAGGAAGTCCTTTTTCATCTCTCTTGGAATGCCTCCCTGCCTCCAGAGAGGTGGAGATGAGGGATTGAGATATTTACAGTGGCCTGAGCGTTCTCTTTTCTCTTTTTATACATCATTTAATTGGGGGCTCGTACAGCTCTTAGAACAACCCAGACATCCACTGTATCAAGCACATCTGTACAGCTGTTGCCATCATCCTTCTCTAAACATTTACTTTCTATTTGAGCCCTCGTTATCAGCTCCTCTCTTTTCCTTTCCCTGCCCCCACTCCCAGCCTGATCTCTCTTGAGCCCCTGGCAGCAGGGGTGGTGGGTGTCTCCCCAAATCTTGGCTTTGAAGAGAGGGTCCCTGTCACCATCACGCTCCTTGCCTATGGGTCTCACGCAGTGTGCGGGGCCCTTGGGGGTGGGGAGGGGTCTTCTAAGAGGCCTCTGGAGAAATGGGAACGGCGGCGACCCTTCCTCACCAGGCTGCAACCTCTCTGCTCAGAGGCCAGTGCAGGCCTGTCTGCAGGCAGCCACTGAGGGCCAGGTCTGGCTGCACTCACCGACGATCTCACAGTTCTTGTGAGCGTAGATGAGGGCCAAGGTGGCGCACAGGGCCGTGTCTGGGTGCTTCCGGATGCTCTCCAGGTCGTTGATGGCGTCCTGCATGCGCTCTGCAAAGAGGCCCCTGCATAGTTATGCTCCTGGGCTCTGGGCTGAGAGCCAGGAGGATCTGCGGCAGGCAGTCCCGTGGGAGACCTTATCAGGGGTAGCCCAGGGCCTGGCCCCACGGGTCTTTCCTGAGTCACAGGAGAGCTTCTGAAAGGCCCCCTCCAAGAGGTGAGATGGTTGCGTGTGCCCCGTGGCTGAGGCTCCTGAAGACCGGAGCTCCTTGGAAGAGCTTTGGCCACCACGGCCCAGCTCCCAGAGTCTACCAGGCTTGCTAATGACCAGGCTGGGATGACTGGCCGGGAGTTTCTGCAGAAGGCACCTCAGGCCACTCCCAACTCCACAAGAGCCACTAAATCTATTTATCCATCCAAGTCCATGTCCATGTGCATGTGCCCATCTACTGACACCAGCCCTGGACCGTTCAGCCATCCCCATCCCCGACTACCTTCTGATGGGCCCTGCTCCTCCCTCTCCCTGTACCACACCTGCCTGCCACCCACGCTTGCCACCCCCCCCCCCTCCTCAGGCTACCGTTCAACTGTCACTTCACACGCAGCCGTCTCTCCACACACTCAGACGGGAAGACTGAGACCCAGAGCAGGGGCTGCAAACACTCTCAGACCTCACGAGTCAACCGGATCAGGATCACTCGGGCTTCTGGGGGAATCGGGCTTTCAGTGGCATGTGTTAGGCTGGAGACCCGCCCTGGGGTCTCTGTCATCCTCAGCAGCAACAGAGGAGGGTGAGGCGGGGTGGGGGCGAGGAAGTGGGACCAGAAACAAATACTATGGCGTCCTTACCTTCCCTGAGGACTCCGTAGGCTTTAAAGAACTGGAGCGCGGGGTCCTGGCCGAATTTCTCCAGACCCATGGCTGCGGTGTGCTGCACATGGCGGAAGTACTTTTCCTGGCTGTAGTAAATGATTGCAGCCTGCGTGAAGGAAGACACCGTGACCCCAGTCACCTCCCTGTCTGTTCTGACCCAGGTAGGGCAGGACTCACCATCTCCCACCCACTCCTGTTCTGCAAAATGATGAGAGAGTGGGTGGTACATCCAGCCCCCTCCTGCCCCTGTGAGCCACTCCGGGCATGCAATTTTCCCGAGGAGCGGATGGAAGGTGTTGGTTTTAGAATCGTCAGCAAATTCAGTTTCAAACAGTGATGGGGAATTCAACTCAGTCTTTGCCTACTAGGAAGGGAATGGGGACAATGAGAGGGCCAATAGAAACATGAAAAACCATACACCAAGCTTCTGGGCTACGAGTGGTGACAGGCTTGCCACCTGCTGGGTACCATGCCAGGCCTGCCTACATCTTTGACAGATGTGGAAGCTGAGGCCCTAGGAGATTCTGGCTTGAAACAGGTGATGCACTGGCAGGGAAGAGATTCCAGAGCACAATCTCACTGTCTCCCAGGTTTGGGGATGCTGAGGTTGCGGACAGATGTGGTATGATAGCAGCCTTGCCGGCCCTGTGAAAGGGCTCAGAGACCAGCCCGAGGGTGACAGGAAGCAGTTGGAACCAGTGGGAGTGATGGGAGCACCTGTACCAGGTACAATGTCAGCGGAGGGGACACCAACATGACTTTCCCAGTGGTTCTCACCTTCCTAAGACAGTTCCTCATGCTGTGGTGACCCCCCAACCATCAAATTATTTTCGGTGCTACTTCTGTAAATTTGCTGCAGGTATGAATCGTAAATATCTGATAGGCAGGATGTATTTTCATTGTTACAAATTGAACATAACTAAACATAATGCATACAGATTAACCACAAAATAGTGTATATAATCACATGTTCTGAAAGATTTGTGCTTTCCGATGGTCTTAGGTGACCCCTGTGAATGTGGGTCGTTCGACCCCCCAAAGGGGTCATGACCCACAGATTGAGAACCACTGCTCTATGCCCTGGTGGCGCAGTGGTTACATATTGGGTTGCTAACTGCAAGGCCAGAAGTTTGAAACCACCAGCTGCTCCCTGGGGAAAAGATAAGCTTTCTACTCCAGTAAAGAGTCAGTCTCAGAAACCCACAAGGGGTGGTGCTAGCCTGTCTCTTAGGGTGGCTAGAGTTGGAATTGACAGAGAGTGGTTTTTTTGTTTTGTTTTAATGTACTCCAGTAAGAGCGGTGAGTAATTGCCTGGTTTTGTCTGCACAAATGACACACACTGTTGCTTTTGTTCCTGGTGCTGTTCTTATAATCACTGACTTTAGTCACATTTTCTGGTGTGTTAGCTATATTTTTGTGGAGATTGTGAACCTATCTCAATTACCTTTTGGCGAATGCAGTAGTACTAGGGAAAAGGAGTATAAAAAGGCTTCTATTCAGTGATTAACACGGTTGCTATGGATAATATAATTCATTACAGAAAAATCTTACAAAGCAGTTGTCTTTATTTTTTTTAGCTGTTGTCTTTAGTATTCAGACGATCTAAGAAATAGTACCTTTAAGCAACTGACAACACTACCACAGATTACTCTATGACGAAAATGGAGAATGAAGATTACTAAGGATTCTGTAAGGTCTGGTTGGTACCAGAGGAAGTCCACAGGTGACACCGTGGGTGTGTGACACCAACCAAGCCGCGCGCGCGCGGCACCATTGGTTGGAATGGCTAAGCTGGGGGCATAAGTGATCAGATAAGGTTGTTTTTTTTCCCCCAAAAACCACGCTGTATTGTATTGGTGGTGAACAGGGCCGGTGCAGAGACCAGTTAGAGGGGCTGTCGCAGGTGCTTAGCGCAGAGATGGGTTAGGCGATCAAAGAAGTGGGTGAACTGGGGAGACGTTTGGGAAGTGACATTTCTTGCTGGGCTTGAGAGATGGGTTTGAGCAGAGGCAGGGGATCGGTTTGGGGGACCCCAAGGAGGCGGATGCTGGGGAACGGTGACGCGATAATGGACGCTTTAGTTTGGGAAGACCCAAGCGAGGATTTGGGGCTCGGGGCGCACAGGGGGCATCGGAGAGGAGGCCGTCGCCGGGGAGAGAGCGCGCAGAGAGAGGCGCTGGGACCGCCTGTAGCTGCAGGAACTGAGGGGGTCGGTCCTGCAGGACCGAAAGGGGGGGGGGTCACCGAGCAGGAGCAGTCACAGAGGTGGCCGCCGAGGCACAGGGGCGGGGACCGGGGCCAGGGGCGGGGTGTCCCGAGAGGGAGCGGCCGGCAGCGCCGGGCCCACGCACCATAAGGGAGGCGTCATCGTCGCTCATCTCGAGCCGAGCGGCTCCGCGTCCGCGTCCGGGTCTGGAGAGGCGGCGCGGCGCCCGATTCCCGACTCAAGGTCCTGGCACGCCCTTCGCGGCCGGAAGTTGGAGGCGCGCGCGTCCTTGGAAACGGCGCAGCCGCCTGGTTGCTAGGTGGTGGCGTCGGAGGCGGGCGTAGCGCGGGAGCCACGTGACCAGGCGCTGGTAATCAAACCCAGAGAGCGCCAGTCCGCGCAGTCGGCGCCGAGGCCTGCGGGGTCCCAGCCGCCCCGGGGGACGCGGGCGCCCGAGCCGAGCCGCGGCCATGGGCCTGGGTGCCAGCGCCGAGCAGCCTGCGGGCGGCGACGAGGGCTTCCACCTGCATGGGGTGAGTGGCGACGGCGACCTTGGATGGGCGCCCGCGGGTGGGGACTCCAAGCGGCGCCAGGGTTCCGGGTGGCAGGCGGTGCCCTCTTCCCGGAGGAGCCGCCCGGGCGAGGCGGCTTCGCTGGACGCCTGGCTCCCGGCCCGTGTGCGGCCGCGGCCGAGCCGAGCGGCCGCCCCGAGTGCCAACTGTGCAGGAAGCAAGGGCGCTTCCTGGCCGGGCCCCGCCGGACTGGCACGCTGCCCGGAGAAGGAGGGGTGTGCCCCAGTCGGGACCCCTTGATGCGCTCGGGATGCCTTTAGGATCGCTTGCTGGGTGCCGCGCGCCCTGCTAGGCCTCGCGCGGCGAGAGTCTGAACGCCGGGGACCGGGCGGAGCAGCCCGGGAAGGGGAAGACGGGGCGGGGGGAGCCGGTGGAATGTCGTGGAAGCTGAGCGGAGCGCGTTTGCAGCGGAGGGAGGCCCTCCTGAGTGAGGGAGACCTTGGGAAGTTAGCCAAGGCTGGAGGGAGAATGTCTTTTCGATGTCACACTAGGAGATCTGATGCGATCAGCCCAGGGGAAAAATGCAGGAGGCCGTAGGAGTCTGGCTGGGAAGGAAGGAATGACGTCTCGGGACAGATAGAGGGCCTCCGTGGGAAGGACCCCCTTTCCCTAGTGAAAAGCCATAGATGCAAGGATGGGTGTAGGCAGGTAAGATGGCCAGTGTGGCACCTGTTGTGAAGGGAGGCTCTGTTAATACCAGGAAGGTGGGTTGATTTAGAGGACCCCAGGGTCGCTGGGATTTATGCCTGCCCGTGGGCTTTCTCTGGTGGCCATGAAGGCAAGGCTCTGAGCATTAACAGCGGGCATTCGTATCCTACCCCAGAGGTTGTCCAACAGGTCTGATGGGAAGCAAAGGAATTGGGACTATTATCGGCCAGAGGGTAGGTGCTGGTAGGCGTGGCTTGGGCGTCCTGATGGGAAGGGACAGTGGGGATTCCAGATGGGCATTGGGCAAAAGCAAAGATTCTCCAGCCCACATTGTGTGGCAGCAGGTTCGGAGGACTCCATGGACTTCCCTTTGGACATTAGGCAGGGAGAGAAGAAACATAAACACATAGTTGGTATGTGCCACGGAGTAAATTCCCACTCAGGGACGCCCTCTAGGACAGAGTAGAGCTGCCCCGGAGGGTTTCCTAGGTCACCCTTCGAGGAGCAGGTGGCCAGGGCTGTTCTCCCACTGAGCAGCTGCTGGGTGGGCTCCGACTTCCTATCTTTTGGTTATCCGAGCACGTAGGCATTATACCACCAGGGTCTAGTGTGATGGGTGGGTCGTGATCCCGGCATGAAAGAAAAATAAAGCCAGGGATAAACTGTGAGGAGCACGAGGTGCTTTTCCATCCCCCGATCAGGAAAGGACTGGTCCAGTAGACGTTCCTCATAGGCGTCAGAAGGAAGGACCGAGCGGCTGGTGCATACAGATGTCTGCGGGGAGCATGTTCCTGGTAGTGGGACTAGCCAGTGTAGAGGTTCTGAGAAGGCTGCTTGGTGTGTCTGCAGGTGAGCAAGGAGGTGAGACTGGTTTGGGCAGTGTGAGGAGGAGAGGCACAAAGGATGGGGCCGCTCGGGTAGGACGTCACACCTTGTCCCCATTTTATTCTGAGATGTTGGAGGGTTTAAGTGAATGAGACATTGACCCACGTGTGTGTGTGTGTGTGTATGTGTGTGTATAACTGAATCAGTGTACTTCATGCTATAAATATTGATATTTCCATTACGTGCCAGGAGACTTCACCCTGAGGATTTAGAATTGCAGAGGCTTCACAAGGGAACAGCTGTTAGGGGGCAGGGGTTCGGAGCTGGGCTCTGGGTTGACATTCCTGGGGTCCGATTACTGTAATCCTGAAATCCCATTATGGCTCCTCGGCTTTAAATTGGCATTGTTAAAAGAATTAATTGAGAAGGAAAGCAGACACCCTGACACCCCCCAGCCCTCTTTAGGTGCTGGCTGCTGCCATTGTTAATGACATGCATGCCCTGCAGAGTGATCAGGAGGGGTAGTGTGTTGGAAGAGGCACAAGGTCTGGGGCTGCAGGGTTGGGGGTGATGGGGACCCCAGATGGAGGGAGGGAGAGCATGCAAGGGAGGGAGGTGGTAGTTATGGGTATGAGAGTAGGATGGGTCGAGGCATGTCTGGTTCCAACTGTGGAGCCCAGTGGGTGATGGCGAGGCTCAGGGAGTGGGCAGCCCAGCTGAGGCAGGCAGAGAAGGCCTCGGGAGGTGAGGGGTGGAGGTGCTGGTGGGCTGGTGGCGGTCTGAGTCCCTTGGTCTTCATTAAGGACAGCAGTGTGACATTAGGCCAGGAGGCTAGAGGGCTAGCCCCATTCTCTGGAGCAAGCAGGGGCCTCTCCCCAGGGAGGTAGGTGGCATCAGAGAGAAGTACCCTTCTTCCCCAACACACACAAGCTAGCCCTGATTAACTGTCCTTTAAAAGAGAAACTCCACCCCAGCGTGTCTGGAGGGACGGAAGCTGGGTTGGGGCTCCTTTGGGGTACTGGCTGCACCTTGGCTCCGGCACCAAGCCGTTCTTGCTGGCCTTGCATTCACTGGAAACCTTTGCTGCTTCGGGGTGTGTGTGTGTGTGTGTGTGTGTTGGCATGGGGGGCCATTCAACTGGTAATCCCACAGGAGTGAGTCTTCTTTCCAGTGGTCAGTGATTGTGGCCTGAAGGCTCCACAGGCCTATTCTCAGACCGGCCTCCATCACTTGGGGGAACCTCAGCCTGGAGAGGCTGGTGGGCTTGCAGAAGTACTGCGCCCCCCCCTCCCCCCATCTTAACCCCCTGAGGCCAAAGGAGAGCTGAGCTTTCTCCAGGGGCCACCTGAACCCAAGGCCCCTTGCTGGGTCCTCGCTGATGCCTGTCCTACGATGCCCACAGCCAAAGGCCTGAGGGCATGGGGCCCTCCTTCAGGGCCCTGGACCCTGGGATAGAGACCTCAGCCGTTCAGGAAATGAGCGCTGGTGGCATAGCAATGAAAGCTTGCGGCTGCTCACCAGAAGTGTACATTGCAACCCCCGTCAGCTGCTCCCTGCCAGAAAGATGAGGCAGTCTGCATTCATAAAGATTGACAGCCTCGGAACCCCACAGGGACCGTTCTACTCTGTCCTGTAGGGTCGGTGGCTCTTGAAGGCAAGCATTGTCAGTGGGGATTGGAGATGGCTTTCCGCCCATCTTGCAAGGCCTGATGGTGGCCACTTGAGAGACAGTGTGTGCTCAGGATTTCCGGGAAGGCCAGGGAGGGTGCCCATCGGCCTGGGAGGGGAGGTTTGTTTGGGATGTGGGCAGTGGTCGGACCTTGAGGTCCTGTCACTCCTGCCTGAGGCCCTCCAGGATATGGCTGAATGTTGCCTTCCCTGGCTCCACGCCCGGGCCTGCCTACTTCCACTGCATGCCGGGACCCTCTCTCCTTCCCTGTTCACAGCCAAACCTTCCAGGCTTCCTGCTGGCCCCAGCCCAGCCCTCTGCTCCCCATATCGCCCAGAGCTGCCTAGAGTTTCCTGTGGGGCATCCCTGGAAGCTTGTGTGGTTCGTGCGCAGGGAAGAGCCAATTCCTAAGAAAAAAAACTCATGTCCAGGAAGGCGGCCAGGGGAGCTGGAGCGGACCCCAACAGTGCCACTGCCAGTGCCCTGCGGCTCTGCCTGGTGTGGCCTCCCCAGGAGGGTCATGCCAGGCATGTGCCCGCGTGGAGATCGGGCCATGGTGAGGGACCAGGGCAGGGGCACTGACCGGTCTGAGCAGTGACTGGGACCTCCTGTGTGCCAGGTGCAGGAGAACTCCCCCGCCCAGCAGGCAGGCCTGGAGCCCTACTTTGACTTCATCATCACCATCGGACACTCAAGGCTGGTGAGTGCCAACCCCCGCCACCTGCCAGCCACCCTCAGCTGACCAAACCTCTCTCAACCTCCTCCCAGGGCTGTACTTAGGGCTGACTTACCTGGAGCTCAGTCCTTGTCTGGCGTGGGTGGGTGGGGTGGGTGGGGTGGGTGGGCTGAGGGTAGATGGACTCTTGGCAGGGCCACGAGGCCTACAGTGTCTCCTCCAGGGGTGCCCGGAGGGATGGGACCCCAAAGGCTTTTTATTTGCGGCAGTGTGTTTTCTCTCGAAGACTCAGGAGACTCGGGAAGGTTGAGCAGTGCGTGATGGTGCTGGACTTGGCTGTTGGGTGGGGGGTGCCCGCAGGGCCAGACTCAGTGGCTGCTGGCCACCAAGGCCCTTGCCCCCATCGCAGGCCTAGACCTGTCTGAGAGGTCGTTCAGGCCTGGTGGGAACTGGGAGTGAGCCCCACTGCCCTTCCCCCCTCCCCCGCCCCCCCAACGTGGCAGAACAAGGAGAACGACACGCTCAAGGCGCTGCTGAAGGCCAATGTGGAGAAGCCCGTGAAGCTGGAGGTGTTCAACATGAAGACCATGCGGGTGCGCGAGGTCGAGGTGGTGCCCAGCAATATGTGGGGCGGCCAGGGCCTGCTAGGCGCCAGCGTGCGCTTCTGCAGCTTCCGCAGGGCCAGCGAGCAGGTGTGGCACGTGCTGGTGAGTGTGGCGCCAGGGGGCAGCCTGAGGGCCAGGTGTGTGGGTGGAAGGAGGCCGGCTGCACCAGAGGCGCTTAGGAGGTGGGCGGGGCGTGCAGGCCGCCCTGGAGGTGGGCTAGCATCCTATTGGTGGGTGTGGGAGAGGGGCGGGGCCTGGGAGGACCAGGGGCCTGGTTCGCTGAGGGCTTTGTGAGGGCGGGGCTAGTGTTTCCGAACTGCGTCTTCACAGGTCACGACCATTCCTGACCACTGGAACAGTGCGCGGCCTCTTGTTAGCCTTTGACGTTGGACGGCCCCTTGCCCTTTTCCTAGCTTGGTTTCTTATTGTCGAAGGTGGCGTGGGGATCAGCTACAGGAAGGGTTGGACACACGGGCGCTCCGGAGGCAGCTACTATTTCTCTCTCTCTCTCTATATATGAATGTCTGTCTAGATATACATGTATATATACATATGAAGGCTTAAATAGTTCATGGAAAAATTCTATTACCTTTTAATACCATTTTTTCCACAAACTTTTCAAAGCGTCTTTGTACATATTGGGTGTACATGTGCAGGGGTTTAAAAAAATTCACGGAAGATGGAATTAAAAGATGGTAGAATTTTTCTATAACATTTCCGGAGGCCTTTTTTTTGTGTGTGTGTGTGTGTGTGTGCATATACACGCGCATAACACGTGTGTGTATGTTTGTATGCAAACCCCCAGCCCTCCGGTCTATTCGGACTCATAGTGATCCCATGGATTTCCAAGGCTGTGAATCTTTACGTCTTTATGAGGGCTGACAGCCCACTCAGCTGGTGGGCTCCATCCACGGGCCAGCAGTCCAGTGCTTAACCCACTGCCCCTTTGCCCTCTCTCCCGGCGAGCCTCAGGTACTCCATTGCTAGGTGCTGCTGGCACGCACGTGTCTTGCTTCCACACTTGTCGATGGTGCCCAGTCTCAGAACCTGGTGACAGGAGGGTGATGAGACCTGGAGAGTGCACCCCACTCCCCACCTCACTAACTGGCATGGTTAAGTTCCAAAGGCCCAGTTGTTGTGTGAGAGTTGCCAGAGATTATCTAAGAGTTGAGGTACCAGATCTTGGGCACTGGTACCCCACAGACCCCACTGGATGTGGGAGTGGGTGATGGAGGAAGGGGCTGGGAGTCCTCCTCGTTGCCTGGGGAAGCAACTCCCCGCCCAGCCCCAGGAGCCTGACATGATTCTTACCCCAGGACGTGGAACCATCATCACCCGCCGCACTTGCGGGCCTGCGCCCCTACACAGACTATGTGGTTGGCTCTGACCAGATCCTCCAGGAGGTGAGCAGGGGGCCCCCCAGATGGGGTATGGAAAGTTCTGCCCCAAAAGTGGAACTCAGGCTCTGTGTTCCCCACAGTCTGAAGACTTCTTTACACTCATCGAGGCCCACGAGGGGAGGCCCTTGAAGCTGATGGTGTATAACTCGGAGTTGGACTTCTGCCGGGAGGTGACTGTGACTCCCAACGCAGCCTGGGGTGGAGAGGGCAGGTACTTCCAGGGGTCAGAGGGCTGCAGGACTGGGTCAGGGGCCAGGGGTGGAACTGACCAGTGGTGGCATGGACTACCAAAGTCCTGTGGCAGAGGTGGAGGGCTGGGACCGAGGTCCAGGGGACTTGAGGCTGGCCGTTGGCCTAGGGGGTACTCTTGCAGCTCCTCCTTGCTGCCACTGGACAGAGGGGGCAGGGATAGGGAGGGCTGTGGGCCCATGCCCTTGGATTTGGTGTCTCTGACCCTCCGCAGTCTTGGGTGTGGCATTGGCTATGGATATCTGCACCGGATCCCCATCCAGCCCCCCGGCCACCCCAGGCAGCCATGTGGTCCTGCACAGTCCAGACCTGCCCCCACGGACTTCTCTGGCTGCCTGGCTTCTCCTGATGTGGAGATGAACTCCAGCCAGGGAGACTACATAGAGGTAGGTGGGTAGGTGTGTGTATGTGTGTGTGTATGTATGTGTGCCTGTCTGTCTGTCTTTCTGGTAGCTGGGAGGGAGGGAGGAGTGTCCTGTGGGCAGAACGTCCAGTGGGCAGAGATTGCCTCTGCTTCGAAGACCTTGTGGGAGTAGGTGGGCCACGCTGGGCTCACTTTCCCCTGGGTCTTTGCCTCTGCAGTGGAGCCTCAGGGATGGGCTGCTGGGCCTCGCCTCACCTTGTGCCCCACAGGGAGGCTGGTTCAACTGTGCTCTGGTGCAGTGGCTCTTTGCCCAGGTCTGCAGGGCAGTGCTGGGCTGCCCGCTAGGACTGAGCCCAGGGGATGCAAGGATTGCACTCCAGGCACCGCTGAACCCGGGGTCACTGATGGGGGCCCAGGCAGCAGCGGGAACATGCTAGGGCCAGGCGGGGCTTCTCATCAGGAGAGTGCACAGTGCCCCTCTGGTGTGGACACTGAAGGCAGGATCAGACCACGTGGCTCTGGCCTGCTTCACAGTCCCTGGCAGGGGAGGGACGGATCTGAGCAGCGCTCCCCTTCCTGCAGGAAGGACAGTGTTCATGAAGCAGGGACAGGCTGGTGTGTGGAGGCTGAGCTGTATAACCTGTCACCCCCGACCCCCGCCACTGCCCTGACAGCCCCTATCTGACTCTGCCAGGCTCTGCTGCAGGCACCTGACTCCCTCTCGGAGGCATTGCACCCCGAGCCTGGGAGCCCCAGCCAGACGGCCCCAGACCTGGAGGGACTCCTGTGTGCCACAGAGACCCTCCTTCAGCCCCCGCCACCCCTGCAGCGAGTTATGGACCCAGGTACTGGCAGGCCCTAGGGAAGTGGACCCTCGCTCAGGGCTAGGCAGGCATGGGCTGCCCTCAGGACCGGCTGACCCATTCTCACTGGTGCCACCATCTCGGCAGGTGACGCACTCCGGTCCTCCTAGGTCGCATGGTAGAGTGGGGAGAGGGGGCAGGGCAGGGTCTGGGCCCACCAGCCTTGTGCTACTCCCAGTGTGCCCCACCCCGGGGTCTTTTAGAAACAGGCAGGGGAGTTTCTCTGGGGCCGGGTAGGTGCCAGATGTGGAAGCAACGTGGTGGGGGGCCCGGGTCACAGCTGGCTGGCAGTCAGGGGCTTGGGCTATGCCTCCCCACAGGCTTCCAGGACGTGTCCGGCATCTCCCTCTTGGACAACAGCAACACGGGTCTCTGGCCCAGCACAGCCCCATCCACAGCCGCCCCCGCCTCGGGGCCAGAGGACGCGGGCTCCAGCAGTGGGTCTCAGGAGCGGGGCGGTGAGTGGCTGGCTGGAGGCTGCTCCAATGGCTCACCCGAGATGGGTTGGCTTCTGGATCGTGCATTTGGGCACTGGGCCACCCTGTCTGCTGCCAGCCCCAGGGGCCTGCAGGCCTCCTCAGCCCCAGCCTCTGTGTTTCAGGTGAAACCACGTGGTCCGGGTCCGAGTTTGAAGTTTCCTTCGCAGACAGCCCGGGTGCCCAGGCCCAGCTGGACCACCTGCCCCAGCTGACCCTCCCCGATAGCCTCACCTCCACAGCTTCTCCCGAAGATGGGCTTTCTGCAGAGCTACTTGAAGCTCAGGCCGAAGAGGAGCCGGAGGAGAGCACAGAGCCCTCAGATTTGGGAATGGAGACGGAGGGGCCAGCCAGTCAGGCCCAGACCTCTGCCCCAGAGTAACGCCTGATAGCACCCCAGCTGCGTGGAGCTTTCAGCTGCTGGCGTTGCGCAGCTGCTGAGCAGACCCCCCTGCTTGTGATCTCCAGGTGTATCTGCTTTAGGGACAGACGAGTACCCATGTCTGAGGGCGTCAGGTCTTGGTGTGGCAGAGTGCAGGGAGCAGATTAAATGTGTGTTGTGCAGGAACTGCTGTGGCAGCTGGAAGGGGTCCACTGCTTGGGGGTGGGGTGGAGCCTGGGCCGGTAGTGATGGACTTTGGGGGGCAAGGGGCACCTTTGGGCCACGTACCTCCCAAGTCCAGCGCTTGCTCGTGCTTTGGACATTTGAGAGCCCAGGAGGCGGCAAGGCTCAGGCACGACCTCATGTGAAGATGGCAGGGAGCCTGAGCAGGGCTGCGGGTGGGGAGGGCGGGCATCTTGAGTCTCATGGCAGCCAGCCTCTGGCTGTGGTGGAGAGAGCTCCCAAGCCCTGTGCACCGACTCAGTGCACTCCTGTTGGGCACATGCCCCTGTGCCCCTCTGTCCCTGGCTGGCCAGTTTATGGCAGACCTGGATGGAGGGCAGAGGCCACCTCCCCCCCGAGGTGTGAATCCTGGCTCTTCAGCCAAGGTTCAGGTGCACCTGGTGGGACCACTGTCAGCTCCTGGATCTGCACAGGGACTTCTACAGAAGGGACGATGCAGCCCCGATGCAGGAAAATCCCATATTCATTCACAGTCAACTTAGGCAAACTGGATCTCTTCACACAGCTCCACCCAGGAAGGACGCTGAGGCCTGGATGAGGGCACGAGTGGAGGCGGGCCCCTCTGCTTCTCCAATGGAAGGGGGAGGGGCCTGTTACCCTACCTCATCCCCACGTGCCCTGGGTGGCCTTGCCAAAGAACTCAGTCTGCTCCACGGCACGACCCAGTCCTCTGCTGCCCCGGGCTGAGGGACTTCCGCCCATTCCTCCCCCCATGCCTGTCCAGTTGGAAGTCCCACCTTCAGGTTGTGTCTGTACCCCCCAGGAAACCCAGGTGCACAGGACTGGGGCCCATCTGTATCCTGACCACAGTGCACCCTGGAGAGCACAGGCCAAGGATTTGGAGGGAGGGCTCCCAATTAGCCAGCACCTCAAGCTTTAAGCACCATGGCTGCATTCAGAACCAGCCCATGTCCAGTCCCCTAGGGCAGCCGATAGGGCTGCACAACAGTGAAGCCATTGTGGCCGCAGCCCACTGCTGGAGTCTGGCTCCCAGCCTGTCTGGGGCCCAGCAGCGCCGATCTGCAGGAATCTCCTAGAGAGAACAGGGCCACCCCCCCTCCCCCCAGGAGCCAGCTTCCTTTCCAAGTGCTGCCCTCTCCTGCGGCTTTTGGGTTCGTGCCCCCCCCACCCCCAGGATTGGAGATAATGTGGACTTCCAGGGTCAGCTCAAAACCGGCCGAGGCCTCTTAGGTCTGTAATCGCTATGAAGGAGAATGACAAATGGAGGAAAAAAAATGTCTATGAGTGATGTCTAAAGCCTTTATTCTATACAACTGTGAATACAGATTTCCCCCACCCTTTTCGCATTGCAGACTGACATTTTCTGGAAATTGCATTACTGGTTTGATCAAAAGGGTGTGTGTGTGTGTAGAACCATGCTGGGGTGGGGTGGGGTGTCCAATCGATGACGGGGAATGTGGCTGCTCCGTGAGGCTCGGCAGAGTGCACCTCTCCAGTTGAGCCCACTCCTCTACCTCACGGGCCCCTCATGCAAACAAGGAAGGGCTGGTAAGGGAGCTGCGTTTGTTCGTTCCGCCATTAATCTGTAACTATTGCTAAAAAATGCGCACCCAAAGTGCACGGTGGTATCCAACAGATAGGTAGAAAGAACCTGTTAAAAAAGTGGGCTGCTCTCTGCTGGAGGGAGAAAGGCCACGGCCGCTCCCTGGAAACAGGACCCCGCCTCTGCTCACTGCTTCAAAGCTCGGGGGCCTACTTACTTCCCAAGAAAGCTGACCAGCAGTGAGGGAACCCTGTGTGGATCAGGATGTCTTGACCAGGAATACCTGGGTCAGGGGCCCATCAGCTGTCCCCAGCTGGACCTGTGGCAACGTAGAAAAAAAAAAGCCCTCCCTGGCCCCTGCTGTTGTGGGGACAGGCCGCACACAAGCTGGGGAGGGGATTGGACCGGAGAAAACTGCCCTCTGAAGGCACTTGTGCTTCTGGCTTCGAATAGGAGGCTTGTCTGACCGCGGTTTTTGGGAGTGGACCATTTATTCCGAATACAAATGACCTCGGGGAGAATCCAAAGTAGTTTTTCTGCCAAGAGTTAAAGTGTTTATCCCCAATTAGCTACATTATGTACAAGATCCAAATGACTCTGAAAGCTTCAGATTGTTAGAAAGAACCGTGAAAAGCAGCTCTGGACACAGGTACAACAACAAAAACCTGCATATAAAACTCTGGAAAAACAAACATGTACACTTCTGGGGTATGAGTATCAAATCAAGTCACTGTGAGAGCTCTTTACCCAGACACCATAATTTTTAAGTAGCATTCAAAGGAAATGAAAATATCATCGTGGTCTGAAGTCCCGACAGTGTAGGCTGCTCCCTGGATCAGGCATCAGGGAGCACGAAGCTGGGAACTGCAGGAGTGAGGCCGCCGTGCTTCCCCGGGGCTGTCTCACGGCCCAGAGTGTGGGAACGCTGTGCTGGCCAGTCGGTGGGGCAAGCAACCTGCCGTGATCCAGCCCCTGGAATCTCAACAGCGCTTCCTACAAGAACATATCTGAGATGCGGTATTAAAAACAAGCCCAATATTAACCATTTATTATGAAATGGGCTGGCTCTCAAATTGTGCAGCAGCAAATTCCCATTAAAATAACTTTTCCACGGTGAGAACTATTTTTTTTATGACAAACTTGGAAAAAAAGCCTTCATCGGTACTGCGTGAATGGAATGTCCTCTTAGAAAAGCTACAGAGCACGTGGGTTGGGAGTATGTTTGAAACACAGTGACAGAGAGGTGGCCGACCAGTGTGTCTTCATCACGTGCTGGCAGACAGACGAGGTCCTTGGAAACACCAGGAGGCAGCAGGCTGCACTGGCCTGTGCCATCAGTCCTCTGTGTATCTTGTGAGCCATGTACGTCTACGGGAGGGGGTCCTCTTCTCGCCGGTGTCTGCCTCCCTGGGGACAGTTTAATCTACACAAGGAGACTGGTGCCTATTTTACATCTCAATTAGTCACTTCCGTGGCAAGATACTCCTGGTCCATGAGAAGTCTTGCTCCTGAGGGGGCTCAGTGGGCTTCCTAGGACTACTCTCGGGGCCACAGAGAAGGGTCAGTACACGAATACCCAGGAGTGTCTGTAGCCCTTCACGTTGACTTCTGGCGGTAATGGAGGGTGAGGTCACCTCCGCTCTTCCATATGAAGTGCTTCACGGTGCGGAGGTCCATATTGGGATCTAAAACCTGAACAGCGAGAAAGAAAACATTTTTGAAGCCTCTATACAACGAATTCAGGGCTTCTCCCTGGGGGGATCCGGCCGATTTCCTCCCCTCCCTCCTGGCAGCCTGTCCTCACTGACCCTGCTTCCACGCATGCAGGAGGAGCTGTGGCCCCATGGGACAGCCAGGCCACCCTTCAGTCGGCCCTCCAGAGGAGTGCTTTGAGCACAGCGTAATTGAAGCTGTCATTTCTCCAGCCAGACCCTTAAACAACCATGACGGATACTGCCATGCCAATCACGACCTATCCATCGCATTTCTCGACTGGCTGAGACCAGGGCTTTGACCTGGTTCACTCAGGGCCGGGGAAGGGAAACGGCAACCATTCTGATCGGAACTTTTTAAAAACGGGGCAAACTGGAATAACAGGAACAGGAAAGCCTACCAAGTGAAAGCCCTACCAGAAGCTTCATTCCCCTCTTAGAAAACACGGGCAGCGTCAAGTGTTCAACCACAGTCAACAGACACCCTGCAGAAGGCCACCACACCGCTCTGCAGGGGACACTTCCCAGTCCTGCCATCCATCGCCCAGTCCCAATCAAACAAGAAAATGGCATCCAGCCAATCCACATTGTTTAAATCTCTGTATCTGGAAGCAGCTCTCCCCGACTGCCATAGTCGATGCTGTCTAGATCCTGTCTCAGAGACCCTCTTCCGCCTGGGGGTCCTGAATGCTAACCTTGCAGCGTTACCTGACACCTCACCAGGGTTCCTTCCATTGAAGCTCTAGGGGGTGCTAGTCTCCACAATGGTCCTCAGAGTGCAGTGAGAGACTTGGGGCCCTAACTTAGGGCCTCTCTAAAAGCAGGCATCTCGAAGGTGGTAGATCTGGGAATGACAAACACCTGGCTTATGCACACCTACCTGTGAACACCCGCACTGAAACAGATGGGACTGTGAGCATCACATCCACTCACCTGGTCCTGGCACAAAAGTTCAATTTTCTCCTCAGCCAGCACAGCGATATCCTCCTCTTTTTCCTGTTCTCCCGGCTTCTCGTTATTAGAAGAGCTAGTGGTTTGAGACTCGTTATCCAGGTTGATGATTTTCTCATACACATGCTCCATCACTTTGCGGACTTGGAGCATGTCGCTGGCAGAGAGTCGATCTCTGTAACAAGCAGGAGTGGACTGTGATGTCAGGGAGATCACTCAGTAACAGCGCATGCATGCAGTTTTTCTGCGCTGTTAGCATTATATGAAGACAAATCTGCTTGATTTCCTTTAAACACCTTTCCAGAGCTTAAGCAAACTAAACACCCACTGAAAGGCAGGAATTGGGCCCCCTGAGAAGGCGGCTCGGTGCTTTCCCAGGGCCCAGTGCTCTGGCCGCCCAAGAGCACCTCTGAGCCGACACCTCCACAGTCTAGACCTGTAACGGTCAAGCCAACCAGCTCAGACTCAAACTCTCGAAAAGCCTATTCAACTTCAGCCATTACATCTAGTTGAAGGACTGAGCCGCTTTCAAGTAATCAGTGTGCGCACGCTCGTGGCAAGATGAAGCAACATTAACCACGAGTTGACAATTAGTGATGCGGTTTAATGGGTCAATGGGATTCATTAATCTTACACTATTTTGCATAACAAAAGGCGTAAAGTGAGTTGAATGATTTTACTCACAGACCTACTGTTCACAGTTCAGCATCCTGTTTCTAGACTCTTCTCTGGTTTCCTTACTCATCGGATCAACCTATTCTGGTGTTTAGGATTCTAATCCACTGGCCCCCTTTCCTGACTTACTGCTATGATATCCTTCCCCGTCTGGTCTGTGCTCCAGCGCCCTGGGTTCCTCCCTCATTCCCCATGTCCTAGGCATGTTCTCACATCCTCTACACAGTCAGCTCACAGCCTGGAGAGCTATAGTCAAACATCTGTTTCTTGCCTTCATCCTCAGACCCAAGTCTCCATAGAAGCAGTTACACAGAGAATGTATGGCAGGAGACAAAAATCCACATCCGACGGATCTCTAATTATTCGTAGTCTACCACAACAGTACACTTCATCAGTGGTGACACTTTCAAGATTGCTGTCTTCCATCTAGTACTTGCCTTTTTCTGTTGTAATAGCAATCGTAAGGAATAAGAATTTTCTCCGGCAACTAATCAGACCAAGGAACACGTGATAGTTCATTTACTTACTTTTTCAAGGTTTTTGCTCCCGAAGATGCGTGAGGTTGGAGGTAGAAAGGAATTTTGTTGAATTTGGGCATATTTTTCTGAAATATTAGAAGTTAAAAAGGTATAGTTCCTATTAGTTGATTAGTTAAAATAATATCAATATGAAAACACGATGTACAAAAGAAGTTTTCTGGGTACAATTGAATGTGACTGTCTATGAAATACAATAAACTATCAAATCAGAGAAAAATGTTGAGAAAATATGAGCATTTGGTTTTGTTGAAGATGTACAAATGCTGTGTGTAAAGCTAGTAGCAATAAGAGCAGCATGGCTCTCTTCAAATCACAGTACAAGGTATTAAGGGGGAACAAACTTTATTTTAATTCTTTAAGCCATACAAGCCAAAAATCTCAGTTCTACATTAAAATATCCGGGCTGATAGCTAAAGTCCCAAACAAAAAAATTTCTTGATAGAAACCCACAGCATTCCCCTTGAGCAAAGCTATACACGCTACACCATGAGGCCTGTCAGCCTGACACCAGAGCAAGGGCTACAGTTTGAAGCAAGAGTGGAAACTTCAGTCAGCCACCTAGACATTGACCATGAAGTAAACCACATCCTTAGTTGAAGGATGGCATTAACTGGTCCTTGTTCCTCTGGGTATGAATCCCTTCCCAGTCTCACGGATAATGTCATATCCTGCCTGACTGTCTCCTCTCAGGAATAAGTCACAGGCCTATCGTTGGAAATGCACCCCCAGTTGAGTTTTGCACTCCAAAAAAGTAGTGATTTATTTATAAAGCACTCGGATATACAGGAGACCACAGAATATCCATCAGCTGTCACACTGGCTATACGTTCTTGGAGGTATATCTGGGGCAGAAAACACATTTTCTGAAGGTTCTAGAGATTAAATCTCTTTTCATATGGCTTTAGGAATATACAGAGTAGGTCAACAGCACAGGAGAGTCCAGAAAGACTCGTGTACAGTGTATAGGATAAAGACAGCATTCAAAACAAGAGGTTGAGAATAGGTCAGACAGCAGACTGAATGCAGACACTGGCTATCCACTAGGAAAAACTGTGACCTCTACCTCACATCAAACTGAAGGATAATTCTAATAAAGATCATGAAATTAAAAAAAAAACGACTGTAAGAGTAATAGAGATTATAGGAGACCATTTTAGCTATTTTGGAGGGGGAAATACCTAAGTCAAACACGAAACTTAGAAGCTATACAAAACCAAACATGAAATAGGATTATATAAAAACTGAAACTTTTTGCCTGGCAAATGCCACCATCAACAAAGTAAAATTCAATTCAGAGACACAGATAATAGTCAAAGGGCTAATACCCATTATAAACATGTCCCACAAATCAGTAAGAAAAACAAACAATCCAATGGAAAAATGAGTACAGACTACAAGCAGGCATTCGCAGAAGAAATACAAATGGCCAATATGAAAAGGTACTTAACCTCGTTAGGAATTTTTAAAAAGTCCACCCTATAAAACAGTGACATAAAATTTGCCTGTATTTTAGTACAGATTAAAAGAACCCAGCAGTGGTGAGGGTGTGGGGTCACGGGCACTCACACACTGCTGGTGAGAGTGCCAACTGGTACAGCCTTCCTGGAGGACAATTTGGCAGTATCTGTCAACATGTAAAATGTGCATACCCTTTGATCCAGCAATTCCACTTCTAGGAATTTATCCTAAAAAGTACACAAAGATATATGTACAAAGATGTTCACCGCATCATTGTTTATAATAGAAAACATTGGAGACAAGATAAATGTCCATTAATAGGGAACTGGTTTCAGAAATTATGGTACATGTATACAATGTAATACTATGCAGTCATTAAAAAGGAATGATCCATATGTGCAGACACGGAAAGATACCCAAGACATATGTTCTTAAGTGGAAAAAACAAGTTGCAGAATAGTATCTTTGAGTTTCCGTGCAATAAAATGAAGTATACATAACCGCGAACAAATCATATACGCTTGTGAACACACCGAGCAAAGTCCTGAAGGCTATGTGCTGAACTTTTAATGAGTGTGGGAGGTGGGGAGAGGACAGAGTAGTGATTGCAGAAGAGACGGGAGTTTCGCTTTACTCATTCATTAATTTTGTCTAGGAAGCATATATTATTTTTATAAGTAAAAACTGATAAAGATATCATTGCTTTGTAAATAATGATCAATACTTTTTCTGTAACTTTGAAACTACAAGGAGGCAGATGAGGATTTGACTTGGCAGTCTAGCTTTTATTAAGCGGTTACGACTATACAGGCTAAGGCAGTTCTTAATTTCCTTCATGATCTGGAAAAAACAGGCAAAGTGGGAGTGGAGGCCACTTACATCCACAGTGATGTCAATTACCCATTGTGGCACCGTCTCGTTAAGAAGCATGGACTCAGTCTCGCCCCCGGAATCGCGGCAGAGCAGCCTAAACAAAATCCAGCAAGTCTTGAGTGACACAAGCAGCAGGGCCGACGGCACAATCACTGTCAACAAACATTAGAGGCGGGAGGGGCCCTTGCAGAGCTCATGGAGGACACCCCCACTTGACAGCACAGAAGGTAGACAGCAGCCAGCCAGGTATAGCCAGCTCAAGGGAGCCTGGGCCCTGAAACAGCCCTGTAGCCTTTGAGGCTAGGATTGCGCGCCCCCACCCTCCTCCCAGGTGCCTCACTGAAGGAAAACCAGGGTGACAAGCAAATACCATATATACTCGTGTGTAAGCCAAGTTTTCCAGCACATTTTTAATGCAGTTTTTGTGGTAAAATTAGGTGCCAAGCTTGGCTGATACTTGGTACGGCTTATAATCGAGTATATACGGTACTTCAGAAAGGGGCTGGGGGTGCTACTATGCAGGTGGCAGGGGCTTCCCCATGCAAAGGGGGTGGGGGAGGGTGGCCGAGGGATAATTCTGTAACCATACTCTCCAGAAACTACCATAAGGGAACAAGAGTCTTAAGCTTAAAGGCAAGACAAGGCTTGTTTGCTTGTTTTCGTTGGAACCCAGAGGGGGCTCTAGTAAGGTCTCCCTCCTGGTTTTACCAAGGCCGGCTGGCATTTTCAGATGAAGACAGTCCAAGCCTTCCCTGCTGAGCCCAGGAGGACCGCCTGGCCTAGCAGCCCCCTCGCCTGGCTTTACTCAGATCTCGCCTCTGTGCAGGACTTGCAGTGACAGCACATGTTCCCTAGTCCGGGTAGTTATGGGGCAAAGTGACAGGAAGTGAGGATTTCCTGCAGAAGCCACCAGGGAAGCTGCCTCAAGGTACGCCATCACCCTCACTATAACACTGGAGGCCCCGCTCTCAATCCAAATGCCATCTAATGGTACCAGACACTTAACTAGCTCATCAAGCTGTGAAGCTTCCAGATCCCTGACAGCCCTAGAAATGAACAATAAACAACTTTCAACATCTATTTGAATCAATCCTTTCTCAGTGGGGGCCCCGGCCCTTGAGGTCCGTACCTGAACAGTGTGCGGCCTCCAGCTTCACCAAAGATCACGGGGGTGTGTGGGGGCACTTGAAAGTATCCATTTCCCTTCTGCACTCGGTTCTCTTGCTCCCCATTTACTAAGAAGAAAATGGTGTTAGTATCCAGATTCTACACATATTTTAAATAGCCAGGGCCAGAAATAGCCCTGGCTATTTAAACAAACAACCCCAAGTTAAATTCCTAGAAAAAGAGACATAGCAACTTGATGTACTTTGTGAGAAATGAGGACGTTTTCAAGGACTTTATGACAGCTTTAAGAGGATCTGGACCAGCAGTTCTCAACCTGTGGGTCGCGACCCTTGTAGGGGTCGAATGACCCTTTCACAGGGGTCGCCCAATTCATAACAGCAGCAAAATTAGTTATGAGGTAGCAATGAAAATAATTTTATGGCTGGGGCGTCACCACAACATGAACTGTATTCAGGGGTCGCCTCGGCATTAGGAAGGTTGAGAACCCCTGGTCTAGACTGTTCAGAAAGAAGTATCTGCTTTCCTTGGTAGAACAGTTTAAGGGATACACCAAGGGACTTCCAAAAGTTCACGGGAAAAAATCCCATTATCTTTTTTTTGGGAAAAAATAATTTAAATTTATTATTAATTATTTTCTTCCCATTATCTTTTAATTTCATTTCCCACAAACTTTTGTGGAAACTTCCTCTTGCATTGGAATTCTAATCCCTCTAATTAATTTCTGTATTTAATCCCATTTGGAAATCAGGGTTTTCTTTTGCCGTGTTATAGAGGTCATACCAATGTAGAGTGGAGCCTAAGCCTAATCACTTCTGATTCTAAAAAGACCAGAACAGACGCAGAGACACAGGGGTGGACGCCAGGTGAGAAGTGCTTACAAGTCAACGATCAGTGGCAGGTATTGGAAAGGAGGAGAGCGGCTCACTGATGGACCTGGATTTGGACCTGTAGCCTGGCATGAAGGGAAGACATTTCTTGGAGCGGCGAGGGAAAGAATGCCCGGACGTGAAAGCCACTCTTGTGTGGTACTTGTTTCAGTGGTACAGGGAAATGAAGAGACAAACAGCAAGTCCAGAAGAATTTCTCAAGTAAGAAAATATATCTTTGTTTAATGGCAGCTGAAGCTAATGGCGAAAACTAAAATTCTTAAAGTGGCCTTCAGTCTCATTTTATTGTTCTTTGAAGATTTCATTTCTAATCTCTTGCTGCAAGCACAGGGCCACACAAGCACAGGTCCACACGATGGGATTCCCGTTGGTCCACCAGCTGTTCGCTCCCTCAGCACACAGGCAGCAGTCAGGATTCTCTCACCGCACACCTGTCTCCGCCCCAGAGGGCACAGTCCAGGCCCACCATCTTTCTTAACCTCCTGCCCCTGGCCAAGGGCCTCTGAATGCTCCACTTGCTCAACAAATTGTTCAGCAGCAAAACCGACGCAACTCGGAAGTGTGAGTTGGGGGTGGGCCTGGAGGACACCGTGTGTGGTGCAAGTGCAGCAGGTTAGCAGACAGCTGGGCCCGCAGAGCCTGGGCTCTGGCTGGGGTGGTGGATAGACTCGGCCCTGCACTGCCCCGACCTGGAAGCTTGGTTTGAAGGATGATTTGCAGTTGCCTGTGACTTGTTCCTCCGTTCCCTAAAGCATGGATCCATGGGGTGGCGACTGCCTCGGTGTTTTGACTACTTAATCCTTAGTCTGTCTGAGCCTCTGAAGAGATGCTAAGCTCGTGCTACAGATGGAGAACGTAGGCCTAAATAAGCAAATGATCTGCCCACAGCTACCCAGCCGACAAGCGGCAGAGCTCAATCCATACCCTATGTTTTTTGGGCTTTCTGTGGAGAGATCTTTCCACTACAGCTCTCTGGCTAGCTTCCCACTGTACAATTCAGAAAAGATGTGGACTAGCTGACATTCAAGACAAAAAAAACCAACAACAAACCCCACCTGGGGCGGGATCCCTGCTGGTCTTTCTGGAGGCTCAGTTCTCCAGTGCTGCTCTCACAGAAACAGCACTGTGCGGCTCTAACCAGCTGACCTTTCTCTCACCACTCAGGAGGCTAGAAGTCCACGTGCAGGATGCCAGCCACAGGTACAGGCTTTTCCTACGGTGGCTCTGGAGAAAGGTCTTTGTCTCAGTGGTGTCAGCACAAGGACTCTGGGTCCAAAGAACACACTCTGCTCCTGGCTCTTCTTCCTTGGTGGCACGAAGGTCCTTCCCTCTCTACTCCATGGTCATTCTCTCCTTTTAAGGAAATACCCCTCACATCAGATTAGGGCTGTATACTAATCCTGCTTCCTCAAGATAACTAAGAGAACCTAATCCTCTTTAACAGATGCTACACAGGAGCTTTGAGGCTGTCAGTCTCTATGGGAACAGAGCACATTCAAACTCACTGCCACTGCGCCCTGGTAGTGTCAGGAGTGAGCTGCATGTGGGGCTGCTACATGCCAGGTCAACAGTTCAAAGACATCAGCTGCTCTGGGGAGAAAGATGAGGCTTTCTACTTCTGTAAAGAGTGAGTCTTTGAAGTCCACAGGGGCAGTTCTATTACCCTATAGGGTCACTCTGACAGGAGCACATTGTCTCACCTGTCTCCCATGGAGCAGCTGGTGGGTTTGAACTGCTGATCCTGTGGTTGGCGGTCCAAAGCTCACCTAACAGTGCCACCAGGGCTTTGTGTGCTGCTGACACATTCATATCGGAATGTACACTTTACTATAAATGAAGGATGATGACATCAGATCACATCACTACTAAACTGTCAGATAACTGAGAATCATGGCTCAGTCAAGCTGACGCATATTGTGGGGGAATACCTTTCAATCCATGACAACTGGCTTCCGGAGAACCATGTGATCCCCATGAGAGACATAGCCTCTAAAGCTATTACAGATGAACCTGAAGTTCTTAGCATGAATGCACCCCTGGTAGTCAGCACAGAGTCTACAGCAGAGGCAGCCCTGGGCAGATGGTCCTCAGTAATTCTCCAGACTGCATTCAGCCACACGGGAGCTGTGCATGTCTAAGAGTTTTTCCCCGACCCCCTTCCCTTTCTTTAATCAAATGAGCCACAGTGGTGCAGTGGACTATATACGGAGCGGTGGTCGGAACGTGCCAGTCCCTCTATGGGATGGAGAGGAGGCACATTTCCCAGTCGTTGGAATCCAGCGGGGCAGTCCGATTCTGACTCACGGGGTCATTGTGAGTCAGAGTGGATTCAGTGGCAGTGGGTTTCGTTTTAAGTTTTTATCAAACTGATTAAAACCCATAAATTCAAAACATGCTCTCCCCTCTGCTGCCCTGAGACATGGTTACTACCACTTCCAGTGGCACACTTACCTTTTGAATGTCCTCACGGCATAACTGTTCACACATTGTTACCCTAACACTTGTCACTTCTGAACTAGAACTTGATTTTTGGAAACATTTAGAGAGGACCAGAATGCTGGTGATATCAACATTTCAGATCAACATGAAGTATATGAGTGGGTTTCCAAAAGTTCATGGAAACAGAATTAAAAGACGATGGAGTTTTCTACAAACTTTTTGAAGCCCTGTCATAACAATACAAACGTTTTTGTTTTTTTCCCCACACAACTGAATAAGCAAGCTTTCTAGGTAAAATTCAGGAAATCCATGGATACTCAAACACCTTTGGAATTGGTCTGCTCCAGTGCCTACTTTTAAAGACAAAGGTCTTTAAACATATATAACATATGCTGTCAGTTCTGAGTGGTCTCATTGATGATTTAAAGCCACACCAGACGGTAGTCTGTTCCCAGACTCTCATTCTTACTTAAGACTTGGGTGAACTCTTACTTTGGGATGTGGATGGAAATTTTTTGACATTGCGCATCACCACCAATTTAATTTATGGAATCCTAATTTATCATACTGTAGCAAAGGTTTAGAATATCACTTAAAATAGCAGTGTAAGACTGTTGTACTGCTGAGTCACTTGGAATGACCTCGACATAAAAATACTCACCATGGTTGACTTCATTTTCTTCTTCCTCCATTGGGCTCACATGGGTTCTTGGCCAGTATTCTAAGAGTGCCTGAAGTAAAAGTCCTCCTAAATTCACTGCAAACAATAATTTGAAAGAAAAAAACATGGAAATAAATGTTAGTTTCAACTTAAAAAGAGGGAAATAAAAACTCTACAGACCATGATAATTTAAATTCTTCACCCTCTGTCCAATCACTGCCATCGTGTCAATTTGGACCCAACCTACCCTATCTAGGGTTTCGGGGACTGCTGAATCTAATGGGAGAAAACAGCCTCATCTTTCTCCTGGGGCAGGGCTCATGGGCTTGAACCATCAATCCTGCAGTTAGCAGCCCAACACCTAACCTACTGTAACCACGAGAACTCCTTAACTCAATGACAGAGATGTTTAAATCAAGACTATAGCATCTGATAATGCTTTATTTTAGGATAAAGCTGTGATGCTATTCTATTTGGTTATTTAGACATAACCATTCTTAAAAACAGAGGCATTAAATTCCTTAAAGAGTATAGACTATATTTGGATACAAAAGTATTTCTTAAGCATCACATTTTTAAAAATGGAGACTAACAATCTAATGAACCAGATGATCAAGAGCTATTACAGAGATGAAGTGTGTGATGGAACGCCAGCCCAAGGGCACCTTCTCTTTCAGAGGGAGGACGGACGGACGGAAGACGCTCGCACATACATTTTGGATCTGACCCGTCGGGGCTGCTGAAGCCAGCATCTTTTGCAGACACCCAAGCCGCAAAGCAGTCACTCTCATCCAGAGTAATCGTCAACATCTGTTCGAAGGGGTGGGCGGAAATCTGTGAGTGGCATTTTACTTGACTACCTTCTCCTCTGACTAAAGTGCTATGCCATAGATTCAGGAACCAAAATGTGTTTCATGTGATTCACCCAAACAACCCAGTGAGTGCCTCAAGTCAATTCTGACTCACAGTGACCTTGTAGTACAGAGTAGAACTGCCCCACTGGGTTTCCAAGGCTGTCAATCTTTTCAAAAGCAGACTGCCCCAGCTTTCACCTTGGCGTTCAAAGCCGGCTGTTAGGGTTGCAGCTGAGCACTTTAACCATGGCACCACTCGGCTCTTCATGGGACGCAATGTGTCTACAAGTTCGTTTACTTGAATACCAAGGACATATAAGCCGTACTTTGTACTAACCTAATTTTGTTTCTCTTTCACACTTCAAAAAGGGAGCTCTGTAATAATACTTAATTATGAGCTATATTTAGAAAGTTTCAACTATCTCAAACAACAGATATTAATTGGCAACTTACCCCTGTTTTTAAGTCTACTGAGAACCAATTTGGCACATATACCATTTTAAATCTTTTCTTAATTTCATCTTCAAAATCCACTTTTCCCAGATCTTCAACTTTACATGCCTACACACAAAGAATAAAGTAAGGGGATTAATAATACTAAGTGGTGAACTGGTTTCATTTGACCATGCTATTCACATGTTGCACGTCTTACTGTTTGTCTAAAGAGAATACAAATACGTTCCCAAAGGGAGGGAGGTGGTAAAATATTTAGGGGAAAATATTTAACAATAAAAAAATTATCTGCTACCAAATTTTTAAAATCAAAACAGGGGACAGGGGTAGATACTCATTTCTCTCCTTTCCAGGAATGGTAACTTAGCTTTGCTGATGCTAACATATAACACACCATACTTATGATGGGGTACCAAAAAACACCCATAATTTCCACCCCCCCAAAGCTATGTATTTAAATAAATATGTTTTTTTTTTTTTACAAAACCACCTTATTGCCGTCAAAGTACTCTCCATTACGCTTAATACATTTGTCAAATCTGCAATTCCATTCTTGGGAACAGTTTTTAACCTCATCTGTTTGGATGACTGACAGCAACTCCCTCATTTTTTTCTTCACCTCTTCTACATTGTCAAATCACTGTCCTTTCTTGCCCTTCTTCATTCGTGGAAACAAAAAAGAAGTCCCACGGTGTGAGGTCAAGTGATTAAGGTGTGTGGGGCAAGAGGTATGCTGTATTTTTTGCCCCAAAACTGGTGCACTGTCCAGGTGGCAATGCCAGTCCCCCATCTGCCACAAATCAGGCCTTTTTTGTTGCACAGCACCGTTAACACATTATTATCAGAACCTCTAAAGAGAAAGCTCAATTAACAGCCTGACCTGGTGGAATGAACTCCAAATGCACTATCCTCCTCACATCAAAAACTACTAATGAGCATCATCTTGATCTTTGATTTCACTTGACGTTTTGGGGGTGAGGTGATGATGGTGTCTTCCACTGGCTTGATTAATGCTTGCTTTCGGGGTCATTAAAAACAGCAGCATGTCTAGTCACCAGTAATGACCTTGGAAGAAAAGTCTGGGTCACTTTGGAGCTGTTATTTCAAAGCAAGACATGTTTCCATTGATGCTCTTTTTCCTGGTCAGTCAGAACCGAGGTACAATTTCCAAGTGACCCTCCACATTCCCAAATATTCTGTTAAAATTCGCTGATCCAAGCTCCAAGACAGTCCACTCCAAGTACGAACCCCATCTCTTCAATGGTCGGTTGTCAGTTTTTGAGCACATTTTGTTGACATTGTCGTCCGTTCGGGAAGTTGACGGATGTCCATAAGGAGGCTTGTCATCAATTGACATTTCACCTTTTTTGAAACGAGAAAACCAATCAGAGTTTTTCCCATAGCGCTGTCCTTGTAAGCTGTGTGCAACAGCACAAGTTTCTGTGGCATTTTTCCCCAAGCGGGAAACAAAATTTCACAGCAGCACAATACTCTTTTAAATTGACCATCACAAAACACGAGATGAGGTTCAAGTGAAATTGCTTTTACGAAAAAATTCAGTGACCAGAGAAAACCTTCCCAGGTGACGCCACTGGGTGCACTAACTCAGAGAGCGGGTTGTTGATGTTCGCCCAGTAGAGCTTTTGTCTGTGTTTTATTTCTTGTACCCCCTCATATATGAAAAGTTATGAGACTCAAATGAATTTCCAAGAAAGAAAGAAACACATTAGGAGCTTACTTTACGAACAAAGAGCTACTCTGCACAACGCTGCAATAGAGGCAGCCATGAATACGTTTCTCTTTCTGGACATTTGCGCTCTCTTCCTTATCCCGTGTGCTTCCCAAGAGTATGCTACAAACTGCCTCTGGAACAAGAGGCATTCTTACTGGCTGTTGTTAGGTACTGTTAAATCTGACTCATGGCAACCTTATGCACAACAGAACGAAACACTGGCCAGTCCTATGCCACCATCACCATCATTATGACTGAGCTCACTGTTGTAGCCACTTCTTCCATCAATCTCCTTCATCCGCACTGAAGGCGACAATCCTTAATCTTCATCAGCAAGTGCTTCCGGTTCTCCTCGATTTCAACAAGGTTGTGCTCCTTCTCTTCATATGGTCCAGCTTCCCAGGTTATTTGCTTAGCAGATAATAAGCATGGTGAGCGGACATAACCGTAACACAGCTTTCCTGATTTGAAACTATGCACTATTCCCTTGTTCTGTTTAAACGACTGTCTCTTGGTCCATGCACAGATTCCACATGAGCACAATTTATGTGTTTCGGAATCCCCATTCTCCTCAATGTTATGCATAGTTTGTTAGGATTCACAGAGTCAGATGTCTTCGCATAATCAACAAAACACAAGTACATATTTTTCTGGTATTCTCTGCTTTCAGCCAGGACCCATCTGATGGCAGCAAGGATATGCTTCACTCTTTGCCCTCTTCTGAATGCAGTTTGGATTTCTGGCAGGTCCTTATGATGTATGCTGCGATCGCTGAGTTTTCTTCAGCCAACTTTTACTTGCCTGTGATATGAAATGACACTGACATTTCACTGGAGGAGCTTTATGTGATATGAAATGACACTGACATTTCACTGGAGGAGCTTTATGTGATATGAAATGACACTGACATTTCCACTGGAGGAGCTTTATGTGGAATGAGAACAAGCAGATTGCTTCCAATAGCTCCCAAATTTCTTGACATAGGTGAGTGAGTGGTTCATCAGTTTCCTGAAACATTTCAATTGATAGGACACCAATTCCCGGCACTTTTTCGCTAATGTCTTTATTACAGCTTGAACTTCTTTCTTCTGTTATTATGAGTTCTTGATTATATGCTACTTCTTGATACAAAGATTCTACCCAATATCAGTTAATTAGATCAAGACATAGATAGACATCAGGTTGATAAGCATAAAATTAGATCAATTCTCAGAGACTCGATGGCTTGATCAGATTCTTCAAGGTATTCTGGGGAGAATTAATTACCAGGCACGATGAGGTGCAGCCCAGTGACGGGGCGGAAGGGCTTCATTAGTGGTGGACTGTCAAAGTGAAGAATCAGGACTCCTGTTGTTGACATCCTTTGGGCTGCTCTCAATCTCCCTAGTCCACCATGTAGGCCTCCTAAGTCCTCCAGATTTAAGTGATTGCCCTGATTTATAAAGTACATGATTTCTTTTTAATAAATCATTTTATTGGGGGCTCTTACAGCTCTTATAACAATCCATACATCAGTTGTATCATCAAGCACATTTGTACTTATGTTGACATCATCATTTCCAAAACATTTTCTTTCTACTTGAGTCCTTGGTATCAGTTCCTCTTTCCCCACTGCAAATCTCCCTCCTGTTTATTCTTTTGTTGTTTGTCGGGGTAAAATATATGCAGCAGCAGCAGCAGCAGCAAAAACTGCCACGTTCGCCACTCTTGAGTGTTCAATTCAGTGGCATCCATCACACAATGCTGTCCATCATCACTTCTACTTATCTTTTATCACCGTGACAGAAACTCTATCTAGTAATAGCCCCCTATTCCTACATCCACCTAGCCCACAGCAGCCACCAATATACTTTCTATGCATTCATCTGTTTATTTTTTATTTACAAGGGTTTTCTATTCTACCCTTGTTCTTCCTACATGGGATCATCATAGTAGAGATGTTTCTGCCACCTGTGGCTCTAAACCTGTGGTGCACACAGCAGTCATCTAAATCAGGAAATAGCTGTTGAACGAACGAATACACCAACACTAAGAAGAGGCAGCTGTCAGAACTACAAAAGTGAAAGAATTCAATTTGCTTACACATTTGTCTTTAGTGCTATGTGCTTAAACTAGTTGATATTCATCGACTTCTCCAAAAGGTGTGAGTCATGGTATGCTGGCTCAGAGTCGTAACTGATGCTCAGCGTGAATCCTAGGAAATGGTCACATTTATTCTCAATCGAAGGTGATATAGCCTTATTCTCAACTCTAGAGGCAATTCTGGTTGTCACCCCAGGGGGAGGGGTAGGTAGTACAGGTATCAGGGGGAAGAGGTTGGGTTACTGCTGTTAAACAGAGGATAATAACAGAGCCACCGCTCGTCAGTTTGTCAGACCACGCCACACCACAGTGACTGACATGTTGCTATGATGTTGGAAGTTGCATCATTAATATTTCACGTACCAGCAGGGTCAACAATGGTGGTCAAATTTTAGTGGAGCTTCCAAACCAAATCAAACTAGGACAAAGAAGAGGCTATCCACTGGCCAAAAATTAGCCACTAACAACCTAATGAATAGCACTGAGTACTGCTAACATCGTGCCAAAGGGGAGCCCCTCAGGTTGGAAGGGGCTCAAACTACAATTGAGGAAGAGATGTCTCCTGAAAGTAGAGCCAATCTTAATGACGTGGATGAAGCAAAGCTCTGGGACCTTTATTTGCTGATAGAGCAGAACTGTAAACACTCATGAATAACCAGAACCTGGAACACATGAGGAATATCACTCAGAAGATGAAATGGCATGCGTGAATGTACAAAGAGAAGCTTCTAGGCACCACTAGTGAGCGGAAATGGGCTGGTACTAAGCCACTGTGAATCGGACAACCACATGGTGTACTCTTATGAGAATGACAGATGGAAGAGGAATGGTGAGGAATTCACCGCCCACAGGAACACTTCAAGATCTATTCTGAAGTATATCACTGTCAGTGTTAGGATGATATCCATGTCTACAAGGAAGACCAAAGAATACAACCATCTTTCAAATGACCACTAACGCCAAAGACAAGGGAGCACTGAAGATTTTCCTACTTCTCCATTCTGAAATTGACCAAATGCAATCAAGACGCATTAATAATTACTGGTGACTGGAATGCTAAAGTGGGAATAAAATTAAAACAAATCCAGAGAGCTAGTTGATAACACGGAGTATATACCACCTGATTTTCGATACCATCTCAAGAATACGTTCGATGCACTGGACACTCATGACTGAACACCCAGCAAGTTGTGAAATGACATCAAGGAGGAATGAGAAATATGAAGAAGTACAAGAGCTGAGCAGATTTCAAGGGATGTCTAACGAAGACTCAAATACTATAATAAAGTGTACAAAGTCCTGGATAGCATTTTTCAATGCGTAACAGTTGAAAAAAAATGAAGAAAAACTCTAAGCAATATCGAAGAATTCTACAGGCAAATGATTGAACCATGCAGGAAGTATCAAAAGAAGATGGAAGGTTTACGGTCACAAAAATAAGTGGTCAAAAAAAAAAAAAAAAAAAGTGGTCAACGGCCAACCATTCTGGGACGTAACATATGACCAAGGACCTACGATAATAACAAAAGAAGCCCAAGCTGCATTGAAATCATTGGAGAAAAACAGGTTTACAAGAATAGACAGGATACTAATGGAAATGTTTCTACAAATGGATGCAGTGCTGGTGGCTCTCTATTGCATGCCAAGATATTGGGAAGACAGGTGCCTGGCCAGCTGACTTAGAGTGAGCCATATTTGTGCCCATTCCAAAGAAAGAAAATTCAACAGAATGCAAAATGACCATTACACATGATGTCATTAATATCACGCATGTGAAAGCTGGACAATAATGAAGCCTGAAGAATAAAAAATGCCTTTGAATTATGGTGTTGGCAAAGAATATTCAACATGCCTCAGTCTACAAGAACAAGCACGTCTGTGCTGAAAGAAGTTCGGCTTGAGTACCTGTGTCGAAGCACTTTGGATATGTCACCAGGAAGGTCCAGTCCCTGGAGAAAGACATCAACCTTGGTAGGGGTCAGTGACACAGCGGGAAAGCCTCAAAGAGATGGAATAACAACAGTGGCTGCAACAACGGGCTCAAAGACAGCACAGCCTGTGAACAGGGTGCAGAATTGGGCAGGGCTTTGTGGTGCTGTACATAGGTCACTGTGCGTCAGAACCACTCAATGGTACTTAGGAACAAGGCACAAAACAGCTCACTTCCTCCAACAAAGAATTACCTGGCTCAAAAATCAACAATGCCAAGAATGAAAACCTCAGTGTAGTGTTTTAAGACAATCAGAATAGAAGCACTCTGTGAAATACTAACAAGAGAAAATGGCTCTATTAAAATAGTTTTCAAAAAATTAGTAATGGCCTTATAAAATATTCATATAAGGTATCTACCCCCAAAATAAAATATTAGTGTAGTTATATATTACCTTATACAAGTTTTATCTTAGTTACCTCATATTTTTTCTTACAATTGGGTCAATTCTAACTCAGAGGACAGGGTAGGACTGCCCTGTGAGTTTCTGAGAGCACAATTCTAGGGGAGTAGAAAGCCCCGTGCTTCTCCCGGGAACAGCTGAGGGTTTTGACGTGAGCAGCCCCAGGGCTCCCAGTGACCCTGTAGGACAGAGTGAATCTGCCCTGTGGGTTTCCAAGGCTGGAGTCCTTGTGGGACAGAAAGCCTCATTGTTCTTCCATGGCGGGCCTGGAAAGTTGGCACTGCCAACTTGTTAGCAGCTCAACTAATAATCCATGCTGCCACCAGTGCTTCTTATGAAAAAACAGAGAGGAAGCATCCTAATTCAGTGACCTACATTCAATCTGAGGAGTCTGGTGGCATAGTGGTTGTGCGTTGGGCTGCTAACCACAAGGTCAGCAGCTTGAAATCGCCAGCCACTTTGCAGGAGAAAGACAACAAGGCTTTCTACTCCCATAAAGAGTTACAATCTCGGAAACTCACAGGGGCAGTTCTACCCTGTCCTTACAGGGTTGTATGACTCGGAATCAACTTGATGGCGGTGAGTTTTTAAACACTGAATCCAAAATGATACCCACCTTTAGTACATCCCAATATGCCACGTTATTATTGGTATCTTTGGTTACTATGTGTCTCTTATCATTAAGAATGTGGCACTGGATAATACTCGCACCCCCTAGAGGAAAAAAAGGACACAGTTAGCAAAAACAATCATTCCACATTTAAATTCACATGCAGCAATAGTGGTTACATGAGAGCATAAACCATACTAGCCACCAAAAAGGAAAAGGCAAATCAAGGTGTATACAAGCCAATAAAATGTCAGGCCTATCAACTATCTATGCTTACTTATAAGCATTCAAAGAAAAACTGTCAAATTTTAATAACAGATTACAAATGAAAGGGCGCCTCCCTTCAGAGGGCCAGCAATAGGAAATTGCTGAGGCCAAACAATTTAACTGGGAAAAGTCAAAATGATGGTGACAATCTACATTAGTTCCACCTCTCCTTGACTTCTGCTTCCTTCCTTTTCTGCGTCCTGAGTGTACAGTCTATTCTAAAGGTGACAGCATGGGCATCTACAACTATGGATAAATGTCACCTCAAGCCCTGACATTAAGCATGCCTGTTTCTTGTTTGTTTCTGGCACTCCAAGGCAAAGCCTATAGGAGTTTCGAACGGAACTTGAATCTTTTGGGCAACATCTCACCGTTTTCAAAGGAGCTGTTGCTGGTCTCACCTGGACCAGGGCTATTCTGATGTAGGCAAAAAGAAAGTCCACTTTTTGAAGTGACTAAATTGCATTTAAAAAATAAGTTTCTCTTCTATTAAAAACAAACCAACATATTATTAGTCTTCTGTTGACATCAGAATTATATTTAAGGGAAGGTCATCACCTTTATTTTTGTCAACCCTTTACTACCTATAATTAAGCTCAATAAAAGGTACCTTCCAGTTTCCTTACTCACCTTTAATAACCTGGTCAGGCTGCGTACAAAGAGGTGTTATAGGATTTGAGCAGTCATTGTCATAATCTCCAGAGGCTCTAAAATTATGAATTCCCTTCAGTGTCTAAAAAACGAAAATTTGCTATTTAATCATTCATACTCCGTGTTACCAATCTGTTTAAAAGGTCAAGAAAAGTAACATTAAAGAATAAAAAATCCAATAACCCTATCATCAGAAAATTTATTAAATCATAAAAACTACAATTACTTACCATAATATATATAAAGTAGTAAATGCGCTTTTCTTTTGGAGAGGAAACTGGGCATATAAGCAGGCAAAGTTATGCTGATTAGACAAAATACATTTTTACAAAAACATTTTTTTAGACAAAAAAACTTAACAATTTTTACAAGTTCAGAGAAAGCCTGCCTGCCTTGCATAAGAACAGGAATGCATAGCTTGGCCGGCTGGAAAGATCATCTTTAAGACTGAGAAGCCCTAGAACTACCGATGAGTGAGTTCTCTCAAGCTACCCTTGCTGTGCGCGCTGTGAAGAAAATGAAGTGACCGAGAAAGCAACTTCTCTGCTTCCTTTTGTAGCTCAGATGCACTTCTCTGCCTTGCTGGCACTTGGGCTGCCTGCTTTCATATGCAGGGTTTTGAGGTCAAAAGCTGCATTAAAATCCACTGGGGTTTACTGAACCATAGTACCTGTTCTAAGCACATCAAATAATCATCTTGGCTTCTGACATGCAAGTCAAGAATTTCATTTGATTGTTACCCTTAACTTTAATCTGGGTCTTAGGGCCACACCCATATCCCGGGGCTTCCAGGTGTTTGCCACTGCTCCAAAGCATGCTTAGTGGTAAGCTCAACTGAGTACTTGCTTCTGTGTCTGGGTGGCCAGGGAGAACAAAGTACACGTTTTATAAATCTTTGCCAGGTAAACAACTGCTCACTTACCCATTTATTTACGGTAGACTTAGTTGTTGCCACCCAGATGGCAGGAGGGGGGTCAGCTGACCTATCAAGTTCCATCTGAAAATAAAGCACAAAAAAAGAAATTTGGGCTCTTCGGAAATGCAAGGATTAGCTGTGCATTGCCAAACAGCAACTTCTGTAGTCAACCTGTGTGTGAGATGGCAGGTATTAGACACTCAGCTGCAGAGAACAAGAGGCGATGCTCACAGCCCTAGGGGTGCACAGGGTGATTTCGCACCCCAAAGCAAAGAATGATGTTTTAAGGCACCTAAATGGCTACAGTCACAAAGGCAAAGATTCCCCATGATTAGTTGGTTTTAATGATCATTTCTTCTTGGAAACATTTACATACAAACATCCCAAAAGCTCAGGATGAGGGAAAAGGAGGCCTGGAGCCCGAGGACCAGGGTACTTGTGAATGCTTTTGTATGTCTTTTCCTATTTTAAAAATACGGTGTACATGGAAACACAGGCAGCCCTAGAGTAAATCTACCTTCAAGTCTAATTTGTACATAGGCCAGTTTGTAATTAACGTCAAGCGTTTTGTCTTAGTTTATCATGTATATTTCTAAGCAGAGAAACCATTAAAGAAACACTTCTCAGTGCCTTTTACACAGGACAGCAATACATACGGATACCCACTACTCTTCCTGAACCAGAGCACAGCAGTTTGAGCGGGTAGGACAGGCGGGACATCTATCCAGTAGGAATCCTTCTCTGTTCAAAAGATGCTCCTCTGAACACACAGGCATGTTTGCACCCGTGTCCTTTGAGTTTTTCCTTTCTATAGTAAAAGGTCCTGGTAGCTGGGGGTCTGCCCATGCAGTGTTCCTCCTCACCTGGACTCTCCCCATCAGACTGCTTCCCGTACACGTGCCATGCTCTATGAGTGCCAATTCAGAGCATCCGCTCGTCGGCTTCTCAAAAGGTTGCCGCTTTGCTCTTCTGCTGCTGTCATCTCCTTTCAACAAGCCTACTTGCCAGCTGTGTCTGAGCTCTCAGGTGTCCTCCCAATGGTGTCATCTGACCTCCACTCCTGCTAGCCACCCAAACACCCATCTTCCTATAGTGTGGTCCAGGGTGTCAGACGCCACTTTCAGTTTTGCTTCTTATTTTCAAGTGATTTCCAAGAAAAAAAGGACAGTGCTGTTTTTCTATCTGTTTTAATTTGGAAATGTCTTCACTGTTGTTTTACTGTGCAATTATTTGACTGTCACTGAGGTGGACCTGCTGGTGAGCCGCTCCCGGTTCAGATGAGGTTTCACATCTGGGCAGAGACTAGTTTTCCTAAGTCTCCCTCCCCTCCCTCCTGGGCATGAGTGTCAGGACACCACTGGCCAGGAATGTCTTGGGAGAGCGAAGCTGGACGTTTCCTCCTCTCCTTCGGGAGCGCCCTGCCACAGCCTCTAGAAGTAGTGCACGCATTTCCTGGCCTCTCTCTACATTGCTGTTCGTGCACAGATTATTTTAATGTTTTAATTCTTCCTTCTAGGGCCAGGTTAGGAATATCCATGTGGAAATCTTACTTGAATTCACCGAGAGCCTATGTTGCTGATATGACAAACTACTTCTTCACATGACTTACAAAAAATATACGTATATTATTTTCCTTTTCTTTAAAATTTTTTTATTTTATTAAAAAATATTTACTCTTTTATTAATTGGGAATTAATACATATATCTTAACATTCCATAGTTCAATCACATCAAGCAGTATTGTATCAATTGTTACCACAATCGGTTTCCAACATTCTTTTTCTTCCAGGATTCCTTGACATTGTCTCCCTTTTACCTTCCCCCTCCTCTCCCTGAAACCCTTATTCTATCTTGCTGTCCCTCTAGGTTCATCAATTCTGGGTTTCATAACCGAAACACATCACACAACTTCAAGAGGGTGACTCCCCCCCCAACGACATAACACCTCTGAGGGACACCCTAAAATGAACAAATAAATACAAAACAGATTAGGACCAGTATGCATTAGAAGGGGCAATTGACAAAACTTTAACTTTGTTCAAATCAGAGTTATTCCTTTGATCTTCTATACTCATTTTTCCAATGCATTTTGTTTAGTAACCCCTTTCCTCCTACCCCTCAATTACGGATAGAGGGAGTTCACTGGAAGCTATTTCCTATGTAGTTCCCACAAGCGATTGTGGATTCTCACTGTCATCCATAGCCTTCTGCAGACCGGATTCTCACAATTTAGGCTCTGATACTAATCCCTCCTTTGACTTCAGATTATATGCTTCACAATCCTTAGGTGACTGATGATGGGGTGCTTCTTCTATGTGGACTTAGTTGACATCTCACTTAGATGGCTGCTTGTTTGGAGAAATGCCTGTAAGATCCCAGCTGCTATTTTACCTGCTAGCCGGGCACCATCTAATTTTGCAAAAAATATTTTAAAACAAGAATAGCAAAAGACAGTATTTTCCCAGCACAGACGTCTGGGTGGTGAATATGAGCACTCCTGTAGCCACACAGTTGCTCACTCTTCCTTGGCCTATCAAGTTCTACCAATGATGAAATGAAATGAAATGCCTGTTTTCACAACCCCAGAGTTGATTCATATTTTAACATGTATTTTGCTATAACTGGCTAATATTACAATATCCATTACAGCCAGAATGTACCTTAGAAGCAAGATGGTGAGACTTTGTCTGATACACTTTGGACATGCTGTCAGGAGAGACCAGGCCCTGGAGAAGGGCATCATGTTTGGCAAAGTGGAAGGACAGGGAAAAAGGAGGAAGGCCCTGGACACGATGTTCTGAACAGTGGCTGCGGGCGTGGGCTCAGACTAAGAACGATCGTGAGGACGGCGCAGGACCGGGCAGTGCTCCTTCTGTTGTACACAGCGCCTCTATGAGTTGGAACCAACTCGTGGCACCTAACGACAACTAAGTATGTGACATACCTTGAGAACTGGTGCCTTTTCTTCACAAATCAGCACCCGAATGTCAGGGTTTCTTAGGTCTGTACAGTAAATCTTCCTGTCCCTTCCTCCAGAGTAGACGTGGGTGAAGGCATCATTGACTTGCAAAGCCCAAACACCTTCATCATGCACTCGGTATGTTGCTATGCATCTCTGCTGCCCAAGGGACCACAGGCGAATTGTCCCATCAGAACTGCCGGAGAGACACTGGGAACAAAGGCAGTGAAAGTGAGAGGCCTGCCAGCAAGTTCTTGTTTGCCTGCTGTGCCCACACTTAGCCTTGCCTCTGACAACTCCCGCCCCCTCATCTCTCTCTCTGTCATAACCAGCACTGCTGCCTTGAAGAGGGGCTTCTAAAGAGCATGCGCCACCTGCTGGAGTGACCGAGGCCACTGTGCACACTCAAGCAGGGGAGCCCTGGGAGCACAACTGCCCCAGCTCTCTCAGCCTGGCCACCTGGTGGTTTTCAGTAAACCCTGCAGGCCGGCTCTAAACCCTGCTTAAATTATCTCCTGCTCAGGAAGTGGTCTTTAAAAGCAGCTGAAGCTAAGGAAGTAGTGTGCACTAAGCCTGTGGCTCTCCAAGGGTGGTCCCCACAGGATTAACTCCTGGGAACTTGTTAAAAATGCAAATTCGAAGGTCTCTCTCCAGATCTAATGAGGCTTCAGAAAGTTAGCTATGTGACCCTTTAGGTCCTAGACCATCCATACACAGAGGGTTTAAGAGTTTTGGTTCACTTGATAATTGGCAGCCATTAAGCAACTTAACGAGGATAAGCAGGGCAGAGATAACAGAATGGAAGTCTATTTAATAAATAGGCTCTTTGAAGCACTGCACTAGACCAGGAGAGGTTGAGTCCTGGGTCACACCTCCTCCTTGTCCCCTTATTCACAGCTCTGGATTCCTGATGGCCTGCCAGGTCTCCAAGAATCTATTGACCGGAGCCAGAAAAAGATTTGAGTTCCAGGCTTACCCTCAGTCTATTGACCCTGGACACTTTCCGTATGAGCCTCAAATTCACATCTATTAATACAAACTGTAGACCCTCAGCATGCAGAGGGTTACAAAATTTGCTAGTTTGGCAATATCTGATGGCTCAGGGGAGTCAACCACATAGCAGTCTCTTAAGTTGCTAGTTCACGAATTACAACTGAAGACCCTGCGAGTTTATCACATTCAGGCTGAACCAACCACTCCTAGCCCAGGCTCAGCATGCTTGGTGTTCTCTACCAGTCACCACGGTGACTTGCGAAGGAGGGCAGAAACCCTTGAAGGGACCAATGGCCCGGAAGGGAGAGCAACTGCTGGTGCTGGTGTATGAAGTGAGGTAGGCAAAACGCTTCTGAGAAGAGAAGACAGATTTGGAAGGTGTAGAAATACAGGAGTCCTCTAAGAATGGTAAAAACGAACTGGTCTGCCTGGTGACTTGAAGGGGCTTTTCATTTCTAAACCCAAACCAAACCTACTGACTGAATCACAGCATCCCTACACAGGGTTTCCAAGAGGCTAAATCTTCAGGTGAGTAGACAGTCTCATCTTTCTCCCCAAAAGCAGCTAGTGGGTTTGAACTGCTGTCAGTGTGTTTAGCAGCCCCAGCGACACCAGGGCTGTCTTTTAGAACTCTAGCAGTGGCTGTTAATGAAATAAACACATACAAGGAGTATCTCTACAGGTGACAAGAACATCAGTGGTTTAATCACTGATACCAAGTTCTTAATTGCTAATACCAATTTCTCTTCATAAGAGATCCAAGAAATTAATCAGTAATGAAACAATCAGGAGTTTGGTTACAAGCAGACCTTCAATTAGTGTGTGGGCAGCTGTGGCAGGCCTCGGGTACTCCCCATTCCAGGAAGAGATGCTAGGTCAAATGGGCAAAGCTATTAGTAAAGCTTTGAGCCCATAGGTCCTAGACCTGGCACATACAGAGGTAAGGGTTTTGGGATCCCTGGTAGCTGGCAGCCAGTGAGTAACTGAAAGAAGATAAGCCTGGGCAACTGGCAACAGGAAAGGAATAGCCCCCAACCCAACTTAACAGCCGGAAACAGCTAACACACACACACACACACACACACACAGAAAACACAAACAATCTCTGATGGTAGCCAGTATTCTCAGACTGCTAAAAAGCAGGCTCCCAAAATAACTGTTTTAAGTCTACAATGGGAGGTAAGTTATTCAGATCACTTGACAGCATAAATGATGTCTTATTTTACAGGAACGCCTGAGACAAAGGAGCCCCGTTAGCACAGTAGTTCAGTTAGCACAGCTGCTAACTGAAAGGTTGTGGTCTGCCCCCTGCCTGCTGCTCTGTGGTAGAAGGATGAGGCGATATATTCCATAAAAACCACTTCCTTGAACAGCCTACGGGGCAGATCGAGTCTGTCACAGAGCTGCTAGCAGGTGAAGTCCATCAGGCATCAGTGACCAGTAGCTCGTGTAAGGTGACACTGGGTGAAAACAGTTCCTCCTGCCTCTGCCCTTCCAGGGGACAAACAGGTAGTCTCCATTATGAGGTACCTCTTGGGACTAAGACAGACCATCCCACAGGCTTCTGCTAAAGCCGACTCAGAGGGGCAGATTCTGTAGGCCTGCTCAAGTCTGAGGCTTTGCTCACGGAGAGGTGGAGGTGCCAGTGTTTCAGCCTAGGTTGCTGCTGACCAACAGGAGTGTTTCTGGGATGGTGCTTCATGCAAAATGCCAAGAGGGCCAGGTAAGTCAGGAGCTAAAAAGGGGCAAGGCACGTCTCAGACCTCCAGGGCTTTCAGTTGGGCTAACCAGGCCTTTACTACCAGAAAACCTGAGAGCAACACACAAGCACTGAGGCCAATGAAGATGGCTGCAGTTGTCCTAGCTCCTCAAGAAATGCTGTAGGCACCCACCAAGATCGCAAAGACTGGTGTCTATCCCCAGGAATGTTGGCACTGAATCAAAACAACTACAATGCTGACAGGATTTTTCATCAACGGGAGTCTCTTCAGAATAGAACTTCAGAGAGTAAGATTTGCCAGATAAGGCAATTACACAGGAATTGAGGCACCAAGCTTGTGTCCATAGGATTTACTGGCCTATTATACACACCTCACTCCTGATCTGTGACTTACCAAAGCCAAGAGACCCTACATTTACAAACTGCCGACAAAGCTGCAGAACGCAATATAGACGCTGGTCCACTAAACAACGCCTGGAGACTGTGTCTTCCCTAATCCTGACAAATTCATGGACCAGTAAGGAAAACCAACTTTCCTCTCTCTAGTCTATAAACCAAAACCCAAATTCGTCGCCATTGAGTGGACACTGACTCATAACAACCCTGTAGGACAGAGCTGAAATGCCCCCTTGAGTTCCTGAGACTGTAACTCTTTATAGGAGTAGAAAGCTCCATCTTTCTTCCATGGAATGGCTGTTGGCTTCAAACTGCCGACCTTTTGGATTGCAGCCCAATGTGTAACTACTACATCACCAGGGCTTTATCCTAAACGAGTAGTTCTTATTGTAGTTATTTTGTGTGCCAAGCCCTAATATGCCATGTTAAATTTGCATAAGCTAAATGTGCATATAGTCTATTTCTCAATGAGAAAAATGGATTGTGAAAATAAAGGGAGAAACGATAGCTGCTTAATTAAGCATTCTAAGATGGCCAGGCAGCTTCTAAAGTTGTCACATCGCTGCTTATGGCAAATGCAGATGATTTTAAATGCAGCTGATTGTAACTGTAAATGTGATATTTAAATTTTCCTACAAAACAAAACCACCGAATGCCTAGAGTCGATGTCAACTCACAACAACTGAGATAAAATCATACCCGGTACTGTATACACAGAAAATAAGTCATGTGTACACGTTTCTGTATACACAGAAAAGAAGGCCAACCTGTAAAAAGTCTACAGGCCCAGCGTCACCTTCTAGACACCACCTGGCCCTCAACCCTTACTTAAGGGCAGTCCCAAAGAGGACACGGGATCCAGTCCAATTCTGGACAAAGCTAACCAGACTCAGGCAAGCACCTCAAATACAGCCTTGCAGTTATATCGCAAAACAATGAGATGCTGACTGTAGTGGGTTTCTTGAGCTCACAAGAAAATGAAGCTGGAACAGAACTCAAGGGCTCCAGAAAAGGCCTTGGCTCACAGAAAACAGTGTACTTATTATTGCTAACCCCCACCAACGACATAAAACGTATCATTAGGATGACTACTGTGCAGGAGAGCAAACGAGGACTAATAAAACCCTCTCACCAACGGCCACACAGCTATGTTGATGTAACAAGACGTTTTCCAATCTCTGAAGACCTCCACAGGCCTCCTCAAGTCCTAAAAAAATGTCTTTCTTCTTTTGTTTAGTTTTTCAAACTTTCTTTTAAAACAAAGGTTCCCAAACTGACTTGGCCTACTGCTCCCCTTTCAGGGGAAATAAAATTATTCAGCACCCCCTGACAATGATAAACTTTTGTATTATGCCTATAAGCCAGAATAAAGTATAGGTATCTGCTTTTGCAGTCCCTGTAACACATACAACGCGGCCCCCTGCTGCATTGTTGCAATGCTGTTGGGGTAAGGGGTTGCAGGGGCAATAACCCATCTTAGGAGTCAATGCTTTAAAAGCTCCAGAGATAAGTAACGAGATATATAACGGCTTCTCTGCTTCACGTCTGACTGGCCTACACAAAAACAGTTTAAGGTAATTTCCGTGGTACAATTCCACTTTATATTTCCCAATCTCATGACACAGTTTTCATCATGTAACAACCACACTGGAGTAACAGACTGAAGGTGTAATTCACTTCACAATCTTTCTACTCTCCCTTTTCTAACCCTACTGCAATCAGTTCCCATGGGCTCTGGACTCATCACTGTTCTGGAAGGGAAGAAAAGGCTGGGGAAGGCCAGACGCATGGTAGAGGTATGTCACGCCACGCAACAATGCTCAGCTTTTGTTTTATTTTACTTTTAAGTTATCTATGTTGATGAAAAGTTCATCTTTTTCTACTGTGAAAGAACAAGCAGAATACCGATTCTAATCACAGTACTATTCTATGTTCAGGCATCACCAAAATGTTTTCCTTTGAACTGCTGACACTAAGCCTTATGCTAAGAAATTAGCTAGACTACATGTGTGCCATCAACTGACAAGATCTGTTTTGAAGCCAGAACCACTTACCACTCAATACGCATACACTGGCAAGAGACATTCAATACCAACGCGTCCTTCTGGGTCACACGAGGTCACATCTTATACTGTTTCCCTACGATCAGCATCCCAATTGCATATATTATTTGCATTAGAACTATTCAGAGAAAATCTATTGTTCTGCTTTTACTTAAAAGTGATGTCAATATCTAACAGTAACTTTAAAATATGGATTACTGTAAGGGGGGCTTCAAAAAATTTCCTGGAATCATGGAATAAGATAATGAAATTTTCACATGAGCTTTCTGATGCCTCCTTGTTACAGGATCAAGTGAACATTTCATGAGTTTAAAAACAGGACAGTTAAGCCATAGTATGTGTGGCTTTGGGTTCGTACATCAATCTATGCCACAGTATCTAAAGCAGGGACAGCCCTCCCCCCAAGTCAACAGGGCTCTATCTTTCCATTAGTATGCGTTATGGAAACCAGCTTCACGGCATCACCAGTCAGCGCCGGCTTTCTCAGGCTGCCCATTTTGCATTATTCAGTTAATGTACGTCAAGCGTATTCTCTTCCATTTTTTACTTAGATTTGACTGGGTTGCACTGCTTTTCTATCAATAATAAATTATTGATAGAACATATTATATATAGTAATCTCAGGCCAAAATCCATTTAAAAATCTAGGTCAGGATAGATGTATGGATTGTGATAAGAGTTGTATGAGTCCCCAATAAAATGATTTAAAAAAAATCTAGGTCAGAGGGAGATAAGTAACTTCACTTCACTAGCAGTAATACTGTACTATTCAAGGGACACTTTTAGATGATCACAGACCATAATCATTAACTGATGCAAAAGAAAAAAAAAAAAAGGAGGAAATAAATGCTCCTGTCACTAAACAGGCTTCTTTCAGAACCTACAGACATTACAACAGGGACAGCTCAATGCTCTGACCTCCCCGTCAGGCATCTGCGGCATCTGGCATCTACCTGCCTAATACTGGTTTTGTCATAACCGCAAACTTTTTAAAGGAATTCCACCACATTGCATAAAGTAAGGAAATGTCTGCTGCACAAAATTTTGGATAGGTCACAGGATCAACGTCCAGATGAGTATGCATACCTGTGTGCCATCTCTGTTCAACAGTAATGCTTTCACATTATCTGTGTGCCCTTTGAGCTTCATAAGTTTTGCACACGTTCTTGGATCCCATACTCTTAAAACCTGAGAAATTAAAATTACACACATATATTTATCTATACACACATAACACAAAATGTGTACACACACACAGACACACACACACGATCAAATTTCAGTAACAGAAACTTTTCTACGCCAAACGACAACCATAGGATCCTGAAAAGCTAACAGTGTGTCTCAGTCAATGGACACGATCTATGGCTCCCATCCCTCTCAAGGAGAAAGCCTATCTAATGCCAAAAAGAGAACAGGACTCTCCCCTCTTTACTCCTTGCCCTACTCTCTCCCCACAATGCAGTTATACTCTTATGTTTAAATAAAACTCCCTTGTAAGCATTCACCAGGCAAAGCCATTGTCTATGTACTTCAGGGGTCCTCAAACTTTTTAAACAGGGGGCCTGTTCACTGTCCCTCAGACCCGTTGGAGGGCCGGACTATGGTTTAAAATAAAACTATAAACAAATTCCTATGCACACTGCACATATCTTATTTTGAAGTAAAAAAACAAACGGGGCAAAAACGCCTGGCAGGCTGGATAAAAGTCCTCGGCGGGCTACATGTGGCCCACGGGCTGTAGTTTGAGGACGCCTGATTGTACTTAATGATTACACAAATTTAATTTTTGTTCCTTGCCCCCCCTCCAGTGTTCAAAGTCAACTTTAAGGTTCCTCTTACCTTCTCGGTGGACCCTGATACAATGATTGTTCCCAGTTGATTCATTGCCAGGCTATAAATAGAATCTTTGTTCCCACTTAAAGAAGAAGCTATTAAAGGACAAATGGAGCTGAATGTTAAACAAATCATCAGCTATTTAGTAGCTAATCAGCAAAAATTGCAGGTTTAATTTTTCAATTTAGAAACCCTTATCTTTACATGTACTCTAAGGAAAAGAAATCTATAATGGAGATAATTCTAAGCCACAGCATTACCGTCTAAATTTAGCACCTTTTCTGGATTTGAGTATACGTATTTGTAAAACTGAATTGCACTTGTTTTGCTTGAAAACTATGCATATAAGTGAAAGCAGGTTCAGTGCCAGTGAACATAAAACCCAAAGTCCAATCTCATTAGTATTCAAAGTAAAAATCAAAGCAAAATATATTGTTACCTATCACATGAAAGGTAATCCTTAATTGTGCAAATAGTCCAGTAAATGGTACTCTCATACAATCTTTATGGAAGGATGAATTAATACAACACTTTTTGGAAGGAAATCAGATCCTATGTAGCAAGAATAAAAATGCCCATGCCCTTTCACTCAGAGCTCACCATCACTGAAGTAAAAAGGCCTAATACATATACAACATGATTCCGGTTTTACCATAAAGCATAAATATAAACACACAGAGAGACATTATGAGGAGTACGAGGAGTTAATACAGATATTTTAAAAAGTGCCCGCTTGTTGTAAATGTCCTATAAGAGGTTAGCTATTAGTATTATTTTATAATCATTTAAACAAAACTTGTATGACGCCCTCTCTAAACCATTCTATGCAAGGTGGTTCTGCAGCAGTATCTGCCATCCCTGGCTGGGACTCTGACCGGGGGACAATCCTTGCCTTTTGCGGCTTTACTCCCGCCTATGAGCGTTTCTCGGATCAAACCTTTCATCTAGAGTCAGAGCACAAAGATGTGTCACATTCAACTTTCCACAGGAAGCAGCCACTGCACTGCTGAGAGTCACCAGGGGGATACAGCGTTTGGAGCTCCACATATTTACAGATAAACAGTGCAGCACACATTTTAAGACATGAGAAACAGGAGCCATACTAGGCTGTGTTACTAGAAGTGCTTTAGCTATGTCAGTGTGAGTAATCCACCGAGCCACATCCAAGTCACTGCAAACTGGACCTGTGACAGGGACCTAGGTAGTTCACACCCATGTCCTGGACACAGCAGCCCTTTCAGGCCAGGCTTGCCCAGAAACGTGGTCCTGAGAGCTCTGACCCCTGGCCTAGAAGCTTCTCAGGCAGGGTGGGTCAGGTGAGGCCGAATTTCAAGTCTAGACTTGTGTAAGTCTGACTGGAGTCTGAGGTCTTAGTTGAGAATCCACTCACCTCAGTAAGCGGCTGTGAGTTGCCTCTCAAAGCACCGTATGTAGCTAAGCTCCCTAGACTTTCTAGAATTGGTTGTATTCTCTAGGGCAGTGGTTCTCAACCTTCCTAATGCCACGACTCTTTCATACAGTTTCTCATGTGTGGTGACCTCCAACCATAAAACTATTTTCACTGCTACTCCATGACTGTAATTTTGCTACTGTTATGAATCGCAATGTAAATATCTGATAGGCAGGATATATTTTCATTGTTACAAAATGAACATAACTAAAGCATAATGATTAATCACCAAAACAATACGTAATTATATATTGTGAAATCTTTATTTCTAACGACAAATCAATGAGATTTTGTCTTGAAGCATGCTGTAGCATGGGAACAGTCTTCACGCCGGGTCCTCCTATGTGGGCGTATCTGCATGTGGCGGACCGCCTGGAGACAGTTACGAGTAAAATTATTTTGGTTGCTACTTCATCACTGACATTTTGCTTCTGTTATGTCTTAGGCGACCCCTGTGAAAGGGTCATTCAACCCCCAAAAGGGTTACGACCCACAGGTTGCGAACCGCTGCTCTAAGGCTTTTCTGAAAGGGCCTTTCTACAATTGACACAGAAAACCTTCTTTCCTACTTCTGGGTATTTTCCATCTTGGCCATTAACACAAAGGCTCTTAACATACAGCAACACTTTTACAAGTCAAAAACTGGGTACTTTTGTCAGGTAATCACCACTTCCATCAACAGTAGCTGCTTAGTGGATGGCTTTGGGCCGGGTAATGCTGTAGGAGATATGAAGTAGTAATAAGACGGACTCTTCTGATCTGCAGGACCTTATACTTTACCCAGGGAGCAGAGACAGACATAAGTACAAAAATAGCCAGGAGAAGTTACCATTTTTGGCTGCATTGAGGAGCTATCTCCTAACTGCTTAATCATACTGCGGAGGCTAGAACGTGTAGGTAGAAACACTCTGAAAATATGAACCATTGTCTCGATGCAAACCTATCAAAGATTTTTATACACCATTCTTTATGATGACACAGATCACATTTTGATGAAAAAAAAAATGACCATTTTAAAAATGTGTTTGTTTTTTCCCCCCAGTCCTCCACTACTACAAATTATACAGTTGAGTTTTCCACATTTGGGGAAATCACAGAGGTCAGCACATCCGGAGTGCAATGGCTAAGCCTCGCCCTGGGAAACCCACCTTCGTGATCATAGTTTCTCCCCTGCCAGGCAAGTATTTTTAAAATGGTTCTAAAGCCCTTACTTGTGACAGTGTTATTGGAGGCAGTCAGTGCTGTTAGAGTATTCACATCCCAAAGAAATATCTGTCTGTCCAATCCAGCTGAGGCTACCAGTTCTTTATCCTTGGCATATGCTAAGGCTTTGACATAATCCTGTAACAGAAAAGACATCCTATGATCCACCCTGCAGATCGTGAAGACAATCAGTCACATAAATACTCAGATCTCAGCCTCATACCCCAGATACTAAGAATTATATGGTTGTTATGTTACCTTATGTGTCCTTAATGTTGACATGCAAAATCCCTTATGTGCATTCCATACTTTTACCGTTGTATCAGAAGAAGCAGATATTACTAGAAAAGGCAAACAATTAAGACACACCTCGGTATGACTTATAATTACACTAAAGCTTTATTTTAACATATAACACTATTTTAAGCTAACGCCCACACACATGCACATAGATGAACTGGAATAGTCTCATTATTTCAAATGTTTGTGAAGATTCTCTGTAATTCATACTGTAAACAAAATAACTGATAAGACCAAAATTAGGACAAAAAGGGCAATTAACAAAGGCTTAAGGAAGAATGTACGCATAGGAGTTTTTTTATACAACGGAGATTAAAAATTTGTGGGAAAATTCCATTATCTGTTATTTCCATTTTACACATACTTTTGGAAGCCCCTCAAAACTAAACTATGCTGTTCAGAAGTGAGAAGAGCAGTTACCCTTGGGTAACGGCCGTGACTCGAAGGGGGACACCAGGGCCTCTGGTGTGTTCTGCATCTTGACTTGGGTACTATTACAAAGGGACGCTTTGCAAAAACTTATTAAGCTACACTCGTAAGACTTGTGGGCATGCTATACTTCATTTTTAAAAATCATATAAAAAAGGAAAAATACATCAAACAGAGGAAAATCTTCTAGAAACCCAAAAATCTAACGAAATACGTACATGTTTTCCCATTACAGCAGAGCACGATGTCATTTACCCAGTCGGTGTGGTGTTCCATCGATGCTATATATGGATCTTGCTAGGGGGAAAATGACAAAAGTGGTATAAGGTTGTATCAGAGGATGAACCACACTAGGAATATTATAAAAGCCCAGCTACCACGGAGCCCATCACACACTCATGGCGGCCCCATGAGCACCAGCGTAGAACAGTGCTCCTTAGGGTGTGCAATGCTGATGTTTCGGTCGACAGATTGCCAGGTGGTCTTTCTTCTAAGAAGACCCTGTGTAGATTGGAACTTCCAGTCTTTCAATGAGCAGCTGAGTGCGTTAACTGGTTGTACCACAAATTACAGATATGCTTATATGATTCAATTAATTGCTTTCTGTTTTTTAACTGAGCAGTGTAAGTTACTGTCTAGTTTGCTCACACAGGTGAGGCAGCCCGCTAACAGATGCAGTTGGGAATTTTCTTCCAGGGCACTTGTGTGACTGATTCCTGAAGAGTGGGAATGGACTTGACGGCACACCATCCACACGGGACTCTAGGACAAGGGCTTCAATTCTGCGCACTGGGGAGTGCAGGCAGAGCGCTCTGGGCTTGGCAGCGTGGGGGCACAAAATGTTCACTACCAGGATGGGACCCATCTCACCCTGCCAGCGAGGGAGATCTGAAATCAGGCATGGCAAAAGCCCACAGCACAGGGCAGAAAGGAGTCTGGCGATGTCCCGAGGAGGCTGGTCTGACTGCATGGGGAGAGGAGCACTTCTGTCTCTGCCTCCCTGACCCATTTGTACCTTCTCAGTGAACCACTCCTCCCCTTTTATCTACAGTGGATCACAGAAGAAGGCGATGGCTGAGGGAGCACTCCCTGGACCGCCATTGCAATTCAGTAACTTGAGAGTCCTTCTAGACCTCTCAGCTGGCTTAATTACCAGGCAGGCGAGGATATTTTAAAAACTCTAGTTACACCCTACACTTAAAGACAGGTAAGTTCTAGACATCTGGGCAGAGGTGCAATCTATACACCTGAGAAATGATGCTGGACAACCTTGGGGAGAAGTTGTGAGGTCAGGGTAGCCAGCATTCCAGAGTCTTCTGGACTTAAGTTGCTTGAAATACTGTGAATTCCCACAGGGGTGAGATCCCTCAATCACAGAGAAGTACCAGGAGGCATTTCAAAGCCAAACACCAGGGCCTTCTTACTCTCTACTGGGTCATCACCACTGCCATTTGCTAAAGTAGCCAAAGCCCACTGGACCAATGTCCCCCAATGATGTAAAGCAGCAGTTCTTTCTCTGGACTCGAGGTCAGGCTTGTTGAACTTACAGCGTTACTTGAGAGAAATATAAGGTCTAGCACGTGACGTTTAGGGTTCTAGTCCTCTGAAAATTAGTAGCTATTTAATCTTGGGTTTTTCTGAACCTGCTTTCCCTTCTACAGAATTGGATCGCAACAGCTGCACTGAAGGATGTGTATTGGCATGAAAATGCTAGCAGTGTCGCACACATTAAGGATTCTACAAGGGTTCCTTTCCTTCCTATACTCTATGCAACATGGGCATTCAAACAAAATGCCTTTCCCATTTGACTGGGGGGAAGGAGAGGTTATCTTTACACCCCCTGCTTGAGAAAGTAAACTTTATATTAACCTCCTAAAGCAAGAGTGTGTGCATCTTCAATTTTTTTTATCGATCTGATATTATTTTATAAGACCCCTGTGGGTTTGGGGCATACCATAACAACTTTAAAATGAAGACATAAAATGATGTATAAAAATTCACAAGCATCTCTGTTTGTAAAGAGACACCGAGTGGCTTTCTGGAACTCATTTAAAGTTGTCCCCCTAAGAGACCCATCTCTTTGTTCCTTTGCAGCAGAAAGCTCTTAGCACAAACCTAATTTACACAGCCCTTGCCTTAGCTAAGACACTTTGGAAAGACCCAGGGCTGTTTTTCTTAGTGCCTTACAGAATGTCAGCTGCAATGTCCTTAAACCTCAATGCTCAGACATTAAGCAACAGGCTGTGAAAGGTCTTTAGTAGGCAGAGACCGAAATGTACGAAATGTACCGTGAGCACAGACTGAAGGTGTAAACTCGACTGTGTACCTTGTGCTGATTTACACTCCATATTCTTATGATGGAGTCTCGGCCGGCGGTGAAGAGTCTATTCAGTGCTGGATCCAGCTGCAGGGCATTGACCCCATTCCGATTGTACTTCTCCACTTCATCTCGAATAACATAGGACACCTGACAAACAATCAACATTTTTCTTTTTTAACTTATAAAACAAGAAATAGGAAAATCCAGTCTACAAATGGTCACTCGGATCTCAAAATCCTGTGCTGAATAGGGCTAATCTTTCAATCCAAGCACCGTCTGATTTTAATTGTCCCCTTCCTGTCACCCCCATCACCCTATCACTTATTCACTTGTTTCTTCCCCGTCCTTACTGCACTCCATATTTCTCCCTTCTGTTTAGTTTACATCTTCATGAACAAAAGCTGCAAGAGAACAAAAACTTGTTTATCCTTTTCTCCTGCTACGATTCCCTTACTACACTGTATAGAACTTAAGAGACAGTCAAATATTTGCTACAAGACAGACTTAGATCTTAGAAAACCACCAAGAACCAAGGTGGCTGCGAGGTCAAATTCGGTCTCTGTCAGTTTCTTCTTCTCTGGGGGCTCCAAGGTCTCTAATCAGCAGACACTATTTTGCAGATGAACCGCAGTTTTCAAACTTCTCAAAGATTATATCTGACAGGTCAAAGGGGAAAGATCAGAAGAGACCAGGCTGACCATCAGTCAAGTGGAAGTAATTCTCAGCAAAGCAAGCCTAGGCTAACCTCTTAAAGGAGCCTACTACAAGATGGGTGATCTAAAAATGGCAAAGATTTAGAGGCATCCTTTCGGGATAAAATTTGGCACACACTTCTATAAACGTGAATTTAAAATGTTGATGTATATCTAGATTGCATGACAGTCATGGCATTTTAAAAATGATATGTGCACTGTCCAATACAGTAGTATGTAACAATCATTCTTGTAAAGATGTTTCAAAACATTAAATGCATAATATAGTTCAAAATAAATACACATGCCTTGAAGGAGAAACATATGAGGGGGCTCCAAAACATATCCAGAAAAGCAGACTTAGAAGATAAAGTTTCCACAAACTCTTGGAAGCCCCCTTGTACAGGAAGACCTCAGACATTGCAGGTTTGGTTCCAGACTACTGCAATAAAGCGAGTCACACATTTCTTGGTTTCTTAATGCATATGAAAGTTATGTTAATATTATACTGTCATCTATTAAGTGTGTTATGAAAAAGTTTGAAAACGTGTGAGAATGACCAAAATGTGACACAGACACACAAGGTGAGCCCATGTTCCCGGGGAAATAGCACAGCGACAAGTTCCACTTGGGAGCAAAGATTGTGCATCGCCATAACCCTTTGCAGTACGTATTTGCAAACCATGGAACGAGGCATTTATATCTGTTGCTAAGAGTAAATATCCCTGAGTAACGGGACTATGGAGATTTTCACTCTTTTCGGTGGATCTAAATGTTTTCTGACAATGGAAAAATTGTTTTTTAGAGCCTCGCGGCCACCATGTTTCAGTTTGCCATCCACCTGCGGCAACGCGTCACGGATCTGGTGGCCCGGGTATAGCAGCCATAGTTTCTCGGCCACCCTGTCGGCCAGGGTCCTGGCACAGCCAGAAGTGGTCGCTCGGGCTTCTCGCTGCCCACAGAGGCCCACCCTCCTGTGGAGGAAGAAGAAGGCCCTCCCATGCCAGCGCCTTGGCCCCAAGCTAACCCAACCCAAGCCACACTGTGCCCAGGCAGCCCTGTGGTAAACAAGGCCTGGCTGAGGGGCTTGGGGTCTGCCCTGCTAGTGTTTACACAGCACTCTGCTTCCTGTGGGGTCTGCAGGTCCGGCTGGGCCAGGGGCAGGATCAGGAATGGAGTAGCAGGTTTGGGAGGGTCCGGGAGCCTGGCTCTCGTATGTCTTCAGTTTTTTAGGATTATTTAAGGGTCTGGGACCTTTTCCACATGCACTTGTGGGGGAGCAGGGTGGCCAGTGGAGGTGGGGATCTGCCTGAGTCCCACACTTCACTTCCAGGACTTCCTTGGGGGAATCTTTGTAATTTGAGCCAATTAAAAGCCTGAACACAGAAAAAAATAAAAATAAATTGGTTTTTTGAATACATAATTTAAGTTTTATCCAAGTAATTTTTATATGTACTTTATGCTCCTCCAGTCTATTTTTCCCCATGCCAGGGTAACTCTCTACCCAAAAACCCAACCCCTGCGTCACTCCTGATTCAAGGGAGCCCTGCTCCACCGGGGTTTGAGATGTAACCTTGCAGAAAGGTCCCTGAGTGGTGCAGCTTGCTCTTACTATTGATAAAAGCCCAGTGTTGCTACCGAAGACACTTTCAGCCAAGAAAATCCCGGGGGCACAGGCCTACCATGCAAGACAGAGGTTCACCAAGAGCTGGAAATGCCTGGTTGAAAACGGGCCTTAATTCTACACGTGTAGAATGCCAGACTTTTCCTTTGGATTTTGTAAATGCACAGCAAAGTGAGTGAAAAAGGGGCCAAATCAAGTTAAGCACATAACACTAAACAACAAATAGGGACGATCCTAAACGCTGGTGGAGGTAGGGGAGCAGGAAGGTCAGAAAATGGGTTCATTTCAAAGTTGAATGAAATAGCACTGACTTCAATGGCAGTTAGAGCAGTGCCTTCAAAAACTCAGAATTTTGCCAGCTAGGCGTCTTCATCTTGCCAAGCCAGGTGCTTACATCCTCATGTAGCACAGGGGTGTAAATCAGCTCTATAGATCATGCTTATAATAGATGAACCAAATGCTTGTATGCACAATATTTAGAAAAATATAAGCAACAAAAAGTTGTTGACAGTTCAAACCCACCCAACTGCACCATGAAAGAAATGTCTGGTATTCTACACCTGTAAAGATTAAGCTCTGTTATCTGAGTTCTAGGTAAGTCTTTGTAAGCAGAAGAGGTGAAAGTAAAGGAGATAAATGAGAAGACAGAGGTATTAGCTGAGCACACAAACAAGGTCCTGGAACATTCCCTTCAGTTAAGAGTACAAAAGCCGAGAAGATGAGGACTTTTACTTATCAGACTGCCTTAAATGCCTTGAAAAAGGTGGGTGTCTCTACGAGCTCTGCAATGGAGCGGGCAGCCAGGCCTGCAGGACGAGGTATGTGTTTTGGAAAAGCCAATTCAAGGGATTCAGAGAGAAAAATGGGGTAATCAACCCAGGAGCAAGCATCTAGTTAAGTTTACACTGTAAGAATTTGTAGCTGGCCCTGCAAGCCTGGACATGATTAAATTTTCCAGCAATTATCTGGGAAAGAAATCAGATGGTAGGATGATCCACTGCATTTCCTGTGATCTGTCTCTGAACTTCAAACTTGATCATCTCTGGTTATTCGCAGTATGCCATGCGGAAAAGCATTTTTCTGAGATCACAATTTTCTTTGAAGACAGATTTGTAACTATATGAACTGCTATAGGAGCACACACCTCAGTCTTAGCCGTTCAACATACCTATTTGTTATTTCACGTCTGAAAATGAGAAATGCAGACTTGGGGAAGCCCTCTGCTTAGTTAGGGTCCCCTGAGGTGAAAACCAAGGTGTCAAACAACTTTTAAATGGGTCAAGAGGGAGATCAAATGATAAACTATTACATTTTAACCTAACTATATCTGCCATAGCCAACTTTACAGTGCTCTCTGTCTGCTAACAAGGCTAGTCACATCCCTCAGTGGGGAGTCACTGGAGGCTTAATCTGTGTGGCCTCTACAAATGGATTTTGATCTTCCACTGTCATCCACAGCCTTCTGCAAACCATGTGTTCACAATTTAAGCTCTGATTTGGATTATATTATTTACAATCCTTGGATTATACAGGCTGGTGTTTTTGCTCCATGTGGAAGCTTCACTTTAGATGTCATCTTGCTTGATGACAAGCCTTTAAGGCTCCATATACTGTTCTTTCTTCTTTTTTTAAATAAACCAATTTATTGGGGGATCTTACAGCTCTTATGACAATCCAGTTGTATCAAGCACATCTGTACATATGTTGCCATCATATCCAAAACATTTTCTTCCTACTTGAGTGTGGGATACAGAAAGATTTCTCCCAAGTTGTCTCCCCTAAATATACGATACCTATTGTGAAGTCCTTTCCTGTGATGTGTGTGGTTACCTGTAATCACACCCTAAGTATACATCGACCTTGGCCAGAAATAAAGAGCAGAGACTCTCCTGCCCTCCTCTCCTCCCGCATCCCCACGTGGACCACCCAGAAGGGCTGAGGTGAGCATGCTACCATGAAATGTGTCTGACTCCTTTATTTTACCGTCTCCTCTCTCTCTTATTATCTATGACTTTACCATAATCTATATATATCATAACTGTACGATCGTGTCTACCGAACCTGTGATAGTGTGAGGGGCTGGTTTCCCCCACCCTCGAGCCCTTGGTATCAGCTCCTTATTTCCCCTCCCTCCCCCACCCTCATGAACCCTTCATAATTTATCAATTATTTTTATTTTCATATTTCACACTGTTATTTCTGATGGCCAGGGACCACCCATCTAATTTCTTCACCACACTTTGCTATACCACCCACATGTTTGAAATCACAACTCATTATGGAAGTGGAAAGGCTCACCTTTCCCCCTTGGAGAGACTAGTGGTTTTGAACTGCTAACTTTGAGGTAGGCAGCTCAACTACCACCAAAGCTCCACACCATCAATAACACTCCACGCTAATTTTAATGTAGAATGCATTACATTAACACGAGTTCAATATTTGTCATGGTTCTTTTCTTTTTGTATGTCAGTTTTACATAGGGTTAAATACACAAATCTACAGCTGACCTCTGACAAACGAATATAACTACATAATCCAAACTGATACTAGGACATCTAGAACATTACCACCATCACTCCAATTCTGGGAGTTCTCATTCCATCCCAGGCAATCCCTGATCTGACTTCTTTCACCAGGTCGGTCTCACGCATGCTAAAACAACAACGGGCAGAATCACCAAGTATGTACTTCTTTGTGTAAGGCTACTGACAGCTCTTAAGCCAATTTAGCCCATTCAAATAAATCAGCAAATCTGCCAATTATCAGTAATTTCCAAATCTGGATTTTCTAGTCCAATCTTGTGGAGCAAGACTTTCCATCTTAAAATTAGA